TTTAGAAATTAATTCTTTTTCTTTTATTAAGCTTTCATGCTTAACTCCTAACTCAAAATTTTCTTTTTCTAACTCATTTATTTTGATTTTTGAAAGCTCTAAATTATTTTTCAAAATTTCATTTTGATTTTCAAAATCAACTTTTGCTTTCAAAATAAAATTATCTTTAATTTTGAGTTTTGAAATTAATTTCGTATATTTGGAATTCATGGTCTCAAAACCCAAATACAACCTATTATAAGCATCTTGTAACTCAGCAAAAGAAAATGAATTAAATTTATTTGAGTTAGAAGATACCTCGAATTCTTCTTGAGTTGTCATGAGGCATAGGTTGACTACTTCATCATTGGAATCATCTTCATCACTCCAAGATGCAACAAATGTCTTCTTCCCCTTTTTCTTTATAAGATGACATTCATACTTGACATGCCCCTTTCTTTGACAATTGAAACATATCGGGAGACTCTTCTTCTTGGTTGATTCATGTTTCACTTCCTTGGAAATCATGAATCTCTTGAGTTCCTTCAAGAGCTTGACTATCTCTTCTTCTTGTTCATCATCGTCTTCATCCACCTCATCACTTGAATCTTGATAGCTTTTATTGGTGGATTTGAAGGCAATGCCTACCTCATCCTTCTTCTTTTTCTTCTTGTTTTTCTTCTCTTCTTTTTCTTCATCTTCCTTCACCATCATCTCATGAGTGAGAAGGGAACCAATTAGCTCGTCGAGAGTGAGAAACTTTAGGTTTCTTGCTTCGATAATTGTTGTCTTCTTTGATTGTCACTCCTTTGGAAGAGAGTAGATCATCTTCCTCACAAGCTTCTCATTTGAGATTACTTCTCCATATCCCTTGAGACAGTTGACAATCACGGAAAATCTATCTGTCATAGCTTTGATGTCTTCATCGGGTTTCATCTTGAAGTTCTCGTAGCTATGGTTGAGACGACTTTTCTTTGATTCCCTCACTTCGTCGGTTCCTTCATGAGTGACTTGGTGCTTATCCCAAATCTCTTTGGCACTGGAACAAGATGAGATTCTTCCATATTCATTTGGGCCTAAAGCACATAATAGAACGTGTATAGCCTTAGAATTAAGCTGAAAATTTTTCTGCTCTTCTCTACTCCAATCGTTGTACTTGTCGGGTGGAGAGGAGTAACCGTCCATGATTGAGTTCCAAGCTCCTAGATTGTAGGATTGAATAAAGTAAATCATCTTATTCTTCCAATGTGCATAATTTGCTCCATTGAAGAAGGGTGACTTGTTGACCGGTTGTGAATCCATAATAGGATATTCTTCAAGATAATAAGCACCGGAGGAAAAAGTCATTTCTTTGTCGGTTGCGTCGAGAATTGGTAGAGCTTCTTCGAGGATCATCTCAAGGTGGTTAAACATTCTTAATGAGTTAGGCTCTGATGCCAATTGTTGGAATTTTCGGAAGCTCGAATCGACAATCAGAACGGTTTGCAAAGAGGAGTCGGAACGGTTTTGTGTTTAGGGAGTAAGGAGATTGAAATATAGGGAATTGTACAACGATTTATAGTGGTTCGACTTTCTCAGCCAAAGTCTACGTCCACTACCTTAGCTCCTCACCAAGGATTTTCCAACAAATTCACTAATTTGTTCTTTCTTTTGAGGACAAAGAGATAACCTTACAACTCTCTAGTTTTTCCGGGCTGAACTATAACTTTTTCCCTTTACAAAAGGATAACAAATGTAAACAAGAAAACCTCTCTAAGGTAGGTGTTTACAAGAATTAAGCTCACAAGAACAAAATATTTACAAGAGAAAGATAAAATAAGAATGAAAAACTCTTCTCTTGTGTTTGATTGCTTGGATAGTTGTTCTCTTACTTCTTCAAGTGTCCTTAGCTTGTATTTATATCTTGGAATGTGTTTGAAGCCGTATATAGCCGTTGGGGATGTTTTGGAGCCGTTTGGGGATGAAAATCAATTAATAAAACAGCTTGGAGTGTGGGGGGAATCGATTATGCAGTGTAAAATTCAAATATTTCGACCGTTACACAGGGAGAAATCGGTACCCCATGGGGGGGAATCAGTACCCTCTGGACATTCTGTTTTCTCTCAGAGCCAAAAACCTGGGGGGAATCGGTACCTCCTGGGGGGAATCTGTTCCCTCTGGGCAATCTGGTTTTTCTTAAAGCCCTTTAAAAAGAAAATATTTTTGGCTCGATTAAGGCTCGAAATACTTTGTAAAATTTGTTTAAAAAGATATTTTAAGATTAAAACAAAATCTTACACTTGAGTAAGGATTGAAATTGACATTTGAAAAATTTGGAGTAATATTTTGATATTTGAATAATTTAATCGAATATATAATTTAAAATTCAATATAAAATCTTAAAATTCATTAACAGTTAATTTGTTATATCGAAACATCAAAATGTTTTCAACAAATATTATCTAATTGCAGATTATTTTTTAAAATACATATATGATCAAATTTATTTCTTGAAACTATATGTTTAATTAAAATAAGATAAAAAACAATGAGACGAAAAGAGTGTTGTTAATAACGATGTATATTATATTATCTCTCATAAATTTTTTGAATATTGATGTATAGGCAGATATGTGTAAGTGTAAAAGGCTGGTTGCTCAACTCATTGTATGACCTTTGGGATCTGACAGAATCTCATTTTGTCGTTTGAAAATCTTTGTTCTCGTTATTTATTTTTTGTTTTTCTGGTTGGCGGAGGGCCACCCTGTCTCGTCCACACACAGTCCTTATGTACTTTCTTTTAGATATCATTGTTATATATTAATTCAAATTAAATATTATAAAAATGTATTATGAATTATCATTTTCACATATCATTTCCATTTTCAGTAACAAACATATTCAAAATTCATTTGAACACAGCAATTCACATAGAAATCAAATATAACCATACCTTACGAATTTTAACGACAGCCAAAATTCGGAACGTGCTCGATTTTTATTCTAAATACAGATTTTAGCACATTTATCCACACATACCATATTATCCCATAAAAATATAACATCGGACACAATTATAATTATACTCATTTAATTCGAGTAAAAATTTTACCTCATATTTTTTCGGTTTACTCATTCGCTTTCTATTTCCCTCGCCTCTCTGAAAGGTCTAATTTCCTCATCTTGAGCTTAATAATAAAACACATAATACATCATCAATGGATGAAACTTAATTAACACATGCATAAACCATGAATATAGGGTTTATGATTTTCATTGTCTAGTTTGGATTCCAAAATAAATTATGTTATAATATGGGTAGATCCAAACCTTTAAAACCTCTAATTTAATATAGCATGCAATTAGATTCTTTTTAGAAATTTCGAGTTTCACCCACTAGGTGGTCGAGTGTTTTTCTATGAAATTTTTGTAGGACTAACGTAAAATTTATACTAAGGAGATAAACTTCTAAACTTTTAGAATGAAGCGAACTTAAAAAAAATTAGGAGAGAAAACATAATAACAGTAAAAAATATACATAATAATCTAAAATATAAAAGAATTTAATTTTTTATAGGCAATTACGGCCATTTACTTTTCTCGATCCATCTACGTATATTTAAGATGTTTAGAGAAGATGAAAGAAAAAGAATAAAAATTAAGTGGATTCATCAAACTTGAGGGATAAGGGCAATATGGAGTTTTTGGGTGATTTTATTAGTGTAAAACATGTGTTAATTTAAAATATATTACCCCATTAGTCTCATAATTTGTGTTTTATATTAATTATGCACTTAATTTTAGGAAATATGTTTGATTAAAGGAAATTATAAAATTATCCTTAAAAAGTGATTGATAGATTTATCTTGATAAGTGTAAAAGAGTGGTAAAAATATAAATATAAGTGTTATCATTTATTTATTTTTAATAATACATTTTAAATTAAACAATTTTAAAAACTAAAAATATACTATTAATAAGACGAGGAAGTATAATATATTACATAATATATTTATTTTAATAATATAAAACTAACTCCGTCAACTTAACTTCATTTTCATCGCTTTTACTCATCGGTTCTTAATGACTCATTTCATTTCACATTTTTCATTATCGATCAATTCTTAAATTAAATAAACGTTAAATCCAACAAATCAGGATTAATAGGTATAAATATCGATATTCAAATTAATAAAAAGGTTATTTTAAAAAAAAATCTCGCAATTAGACTTGAAAAATATTTTGTTTGAATATTTGAAGATAATGTAATTTAACTTTATATTTTATGATTATCTCTTCTAATAATATTATTTTTAAGATTTAAAGTTAAATTATGTAATATAATTAAATGAAAAACCCCTCGTTACGGTTTTATTTGGAAAACTCCCAACTCAAAATCTGAAATAAACGAACAACTATTGATAAATGTTGGTATTTTAAAATAGGCATAATGCAACAAAATGACCTTAATGTTTGACACTAGTGTTAACTTTACCCGTATTATTTTTTTGAAATATTTGGATACCGAACGTTTATTTTTTAGTCAAATATAACCCACGATGGATGCTGACGTAGTGCACACGTGTGGAAGATAAAGGTGACATGGACGTCCATGTCATCCATATCGTTGACGTGGCACTGCTACGTTATTTTTTAAAATTATGATTTATATTTGCCACCAAGCTAGGCTATTTGCTCGAGTAACTTATGAAACAAATGGTATTTAACATTCACACAAATAAGTTGTTTTAAAACACATAGTAGATGTATCATGATTTTTTCCTCAACTCTTTTACCCCGATTATTCCCCAAATATTAAAAAACATAAAATTAATTGCAATCCACATAAATAAGTATTTTAACAAAAAATTTATCACATAAATATTAAAACACATAACATTAACTGCAATCCACATAAATAAGTAGTTTTAACAAAAAAAAAGTTATTACATATCAAGTTATGCAAATATTAAGGGGCATATATTGGGGTTTAGGAAAAAACAACAACACCCATATCCCCAAAAACTACTGCAATCCACAATTTATTCATTATTCGTTGGTGTAACTGATTCTTGAGTGCCCATAGATTCTTCAGCTTCTTTCAACTTCCTTGGATTATTTGAACCGGACTGTTACAAAATAAAAATATTAAAACAGACATAAATTTTTAATTCCCGTAAAATAAGTTCAAAATTTGTTCTTACATAAAAAGTCTGCTCTCCAGTCCTCAAATTAGTGTAGAGGAGTATCCCTTAGTATATTCTATTTCTTGTTGATCTATCAAAAGCAGTGTTGACCTTTTCCTTTTTTTTATCTTTCCTTGAAGATTGTGTAGACTTTGATACCATTATACTTGTCGATCTTGTTGAAGAATTGCCATCACTATTGCTTCCTACAACAAAACATCAAAACAAATTAATGGAACATATAAATGGAACACAATATGCAACACATAAATGTAGCTTACCTGGTTTGCAGTTTTAGGTCGAGAATATGATCTTTTATTATGTCCTTGTGCATCACAATTTCTACAAGTCATAATAAGACCCGTCCTATTAAGATGTTCTGGCTTGTCTTTTTTTGGTTCATCTTTTGACTTCCATTGATTTTTCTTAGGCCTTCTAGACATATCTCTGTAAACTGGTGGAAGAAAAAACTCAAGTTCATATTTATTCCAATCGTGAGGCCCATTAATAGGTTGTAAAACATAATTATATGCTTTACTGTAAGTGTCTTTGTCATAACATAAGTGCAAAAACTCATATGGGTCCCCACCACCATGCCATATCGCACAACTAGCATGAGGACAAAGAATCCCATAAAGTTGCCACCATCTACAAGTACATGTTCTTTCATTCAAGTCCACGATGAACTGGTTATTCCCTTTTTTAACCTCACATCCATTTTCTCCATTCTAAATCATTCTCCATTCAATGTTGTCCTTCTTTATCTTATCAAATTTTTTCTTGATTAATGGCCCATATTTGTACTTCTATGTAGCCAAGAATCTCCTCTTCTCAACTATTCTTGTCATAATCTTGACTCTAATCTCCTCAAGCATCGTAATAATGCTCTTGTACCTTGACTCAACAATGCTCGAATTAAATGCCTCACACAAATCATTATCGACTATATCCGACTTGGCATGTAGTTTTTGAAAAGCCTTGGTCCACATTTTCTCTTTTTTACTGAACATTTCAGTTGCAACTGTGCCATCGATCTTGGATAGTGCATCTTTGTTCTTCTGCCCTTTTATCTCAGTGGAGGACTTAACAATCTGCCAAAAGGAAAATTGATATGCTTTTGTTCTTTTTACTTCCAGTCCAATTCGCAAACACTTGTCTAGCACGATTTCTATGTCTTCTTGTGGTAGGACATCATTTACAGAAATCTCTATACCCTGTCAAAAAAAGTTAAACAAATTAACATTCAGATCCAAATAGAAGCAATGTGTATATTAACTACAAGGTCATAATTTACCTTGTGTTAGAAACTGATGATGGTGTAGCCAAATCCATTATCCAATCCCAAGTCTATTGTAACTATACTAAGAAACCAAGACCAAGAATAAGTTATTTTTACCCTCCACAACAACCCATGCGATAGGGTACATCTGATCATTGACATCTCTTCCAACAACAGACAAAAGTATACCTTTGAATGGGCCCTTAAGGAAACAACCATCTACACCAAGTATAGGCCTACACCCTTCTTTCCAACATCTCTTCATAGCATTAAAGCATATATAAAATCTCTTAAAATAAGGTGGAGAATTATCTGACACCCTATTTACTGCCATCTTTATTGTACTCCTGAGCTTTTTTGCCTTTAACTCATCTGTATAGTCCCATAACTGAGCAAATTCTTCTTTGCAGTTTCTAGCCAACCTTGATGTCACCAAATTCTTTGCCCTTCGATATTTACTCAACTTAACATTAACATGTAACTCAGGCTACACCCTTCTTTGTATCTATTTAAGCTTTATTTTTTGGTGGTCTCTAATAGTATCCTCAAAATGTTCTGCAATAACTTTAGCAGTAACCATTCTATTACAAAAAATAACAGGGCAGTTATGTTCATCTAAGAAAGTCTTCACCTGTAGACTACTTATCCTCTTGTTTGTACTCACATAGATTCTCCATGGATAATTTTTAGATGCAATGCATTTGTAACTAATCTTATTCGTTTCACAATATACAATTCTCAACTCCTTTCTACTGTATCTCGAATATTTATGGATGACATCTCTGAATTATTTGCCATATATAAATAATATCCCCAAACAGAATTTAGGACTCTCGGCATATGGGTTATAAATATTATATATTCCTCTTCTACTAGCAGCCTCTTCATTTTCATCATCATCTGACCCAATCAAGCTCCAGTGGTCATCACTGTCATAGTAATCGGTTTCAACCCCACCTACACCTTCTGTAACTCCAATATTTCCTCCCCCATCTTCTGTCTCCTCATGGATCTCGATTTCAGTTGCAGTTTTATTCTCAAAGTCGGTGTTAACCTCTACTTGTTCCTTACCTATTATATTCTCCCTGGCAGACTGTAGTTCATCATCATCCTGACCATCAGATAAATATGGAACATTTATGTAGTGGGCATTGTCTTCCCCACTATCACTCTCTTCATGTTCACTTGCAGCAGCAACATCCTTATCAGCGGCAACATCCTCACTATCACTCATATCATCAGCCTCACCAGTAATAGGCATTTCAGTAGTACAATCACCCTTATCATTACCCTTACCAGCAACAGTTATTTCAGTATTACAATCACCCTTATCATTACCCTCACCAATATTTAGGAGTAAGATGTCATCAACAATTTCAGGGGTGTCCAATTCATGCTCAACATATATGTCTATAAACCCATATTTCACCCAATAGTTCAACATGGCAATTGTACTTGTATCATAAAAAAAACCTTCAGATTATCTTGTAAACCCTCCACAAAAGAGTTCATGAAAGTATATTATTTGTATAATATTGAAATGTAAAAGATCCTTAATAAGTTTACGAACCTCAAAATATAAAATTATACATAGATTCTCTTTCAACCTAATCAACTCACCACCTTCATATCTCACATATGGATCTCGCACAAAATTTCCACCAACATGTAAATTCTCGTTCATTTGTATAAGTCAGAACAATAAATAATTATTATGTTGGTGGCAGCTAAGCACATGAAGAAACCCAAAGAAGAAACAAACAAAGTGTTTTTCTACTGCACATGGAGAGATCACTCTTCCAGTTAAAAAATAAATAATGCAGTCCTTACCACTCATATATACATCAAAATAGTATACTAACATTGCAGGAAACCACAAAAATTATATATGCATCAAAAAGCAGGAAATTGGTCCCAAATCCTAAACCCAAGTCGTAAACCCAACATAAAACCCAACATTTAGGTAAAAAATTCGTTTCTACAAACCCAAACATAAAAATCAAACCCTTACCCAATTTGAAAAATATTACAACACATACAATCGAATAAAGTTGTAGGCTTTAAACCCTAAACCCATACATCTAACAAAGAATTCGAAAAAACTCACAAATCCATTTCGATGAAATAAAATAATCAAGCAGTTTTTAAAAAAAATAAACTTACCGTCCCTACCACTCAACCGCGTAATCGATTCAAGATGAAATGTTTCATGTGATTTTGATGGAGATAGAATCAAAGGAAAACCCCTAAAATTAGGGATATAAACCCTAAAATTTAGGGAATAATCGAGGTAAAAGGGAGAGTTAGGCTGAGGAAAAAATCGGCGTAAAAGAGTTGAGGAAAAAACTGGCTTAATGAAATTCTGACGAAATAATGCATGTTAAATACCATTTGTTTCATAAGTTACTTGAGAAAATAGCCTAGCTTGGAGGTAAAATACCAAGCAATATACCTGAGAAACCCAGGTTTGAATCTCACAAAGTGCAATTCACCTTCAAATTTTTAATATAAAAATATAAATCATAATTTTTAAAAATGATGTGGTAGTGCCACGTCAGCGATATGGATGACATAGATGTCCACGTCACCTTTCTCCTCCACGCATGCGCGCTACGTCAGCATCCAGCGTTGACCGTCAGTTGACTAACGGTTTCCATCTAGCGTAGGTTATATTTGACCCAAAAATAAATGTTCGGTACCCAAATTGTAACAGCCTCAATGTCGGGTTAGTGAATAAATTGTAAAACTTCATAATTTGGTGACTAAAGCAGAATAATTGAATATTATTGTAATTTGGTATAGAGTTAAATTGCAAGAAAGGTGTAAATGAAGGATAGAATAGTCAATTGCATGGAAAAAAAATAATTAAAGAAGATATATATATATATATATATTAGCTACACGTGGAAGAGATTGAAGAAAAACACAAGGTTTCAGAGTTCTCTTCTTCTCTTCTTTCTCCACACGTGAAGAGGTCAAAACAAAGGTGAGATATCTCATGAGCTAATTGTTTGTTGAAATTTAAGTGTGGTTTTGATTATTAGATGTTAATTAAGCTTAAGGAAAGCTTAAGTTGCTTTAAAACAACAAGATGAAGAATGTAGGAAGAATTAAAGGTTAAGATTTCTTGAATGAAATTTTGAAATAGAGTTCATAATTAGAATTGGAGGTTGAATTTGACTTGTCATCGACTTAATTAAGATATACGAAGTGTTAGAATTAGATTTAGAACATGCTGGAAATTGAGTGAGATTCTTGAATTATATGTGGAGGATTGGATTTTTAAGTTGAAGAGGTATTGAATGGGTATTAATTAGTTTAAATAGGTGTATAAGAGTTAAGAATGTTAAAGGAGGCGAAAGATGAAGAATTGAGCTGAAAATGAATGAATTTCATGTTTAAAATGAAATTTATGGGTTAAGTGCATCGATGCATCTTCAATGTGTATCGATGCACTCTCAAATAAATAAACATCGAATGCAATTAGTGCATCGATGAATAAGGAGTGTATCGATGCACCCCCTTAAGATGAAAACATCGAATGTGATTTGTGTACCAATGCATAGATAGTGCATCGATGCACACTGAGGGATGCATCGATACACTGTAGAGTACATCGATACATACCTTCATTAAGAGATGAAATTAGCCTTTCTTTTAGTGTAAGAAGTGATAGTTGGAAATATATCAATTAGTATAATGATATGTATCAATGTATTGCTATGTAGATTTAGAGTGTAATCTTGTTCCGGAACAATCGAAGGATTAGAATCGAGTCAAAGCAAGGCTAAGGTGAATGCCTATCCTAGATAGAATTGTATTGAGATAAGACTTGTGATAAGTCTATCTCTTATAATTGAATTTATGATTCTATATACATGCACATACATACATATATATTTGTATTAATGTTATAGTGATTCCATGTATAATTCATTCATGATTTAACATGATATTATATGAATGAATGACATTATCAGAGAATCCTTCCAGGTATGTGAAATAATGGAAATGATCATATGAAGTGACATATGTGTTTATATGGACAGTGATGAACGAGATATGAAATGAGAAATGTATTTATAATTAAACCCATGTTATTTAATATGAGAGCTATAGGTATAATTGACATGCCAAGAGTTGAGGGATTATCAGTGGTTCTTCGGGACATAGTGGTCCATCGGGACAAATATTCAGTGCCCCTAGTGGGATTTTATTCGAGATGTGGTGACAGCATTGTGCACAACCTCAGTGTACTCGCGTACCTTCTGTTTTAAATAATGTACATGGGCATCCAAAGATAAACTAAAGGAAATTCTTATGAAACATAATTGTAAATTCATGCATATCCTACTCATATGTCATTGTGTGGTATTTAAATGTGCATCGCAATGTCCTAGTGTATTGATAGTAATGTATATTCGTGATATTATTGTTATATGTTTAGTAATGGCTCACTAAGTATGTGACTTAGCGTGTAAGTGATTTACACGTAGGTACCAAAAATCCAGAAGAGCATAAATAGGGGTGGCAAGAACAACATCATTACTAGAAGACCAGATCAGAAGTAATTGATAAAGTATGTATTTTGTTGTGTATAGTATGTTGGAATGTAAGAAAAGTGTCAGTTATGAATGCTCTGATCGATTTTTATTATTTTGGTCAATTTATCTAAATAAATTACCTTTATTTTAATGAAAATTTTAAATTTTCCTTGAATTTTGTCAAGAGTCAAAGTTTGAAAAGTCAATGTGACACCTCAGACTCGTATTCGGATCGAGTACGGGTTGAGGGTGTTACACAAATGTTCTAAAAAATAATACGGATAAAGTTGACACTACTATCAAACGTTAGGATCATTTTGTTGCATTATGCCTTTAAAATATATCAAACGGTGCTCGAAAGAAACCAAAAGAAAAGCAGGAGCAATTAGTTTAAACCAGAAGATAAGATTAGGCTTTAAAGCAAAGAAACTGATAAAAGGGGATAATGGACCTCTTTTTTCTGACCTAAAAGTGTGGGGGACTCCTCCATTATAGACCCTACTAATCCCCCTGTGTGGGACGACAAGTCCATGTGACCCATAAAAACCCTAAACCAGATGACTAATCCGGCAGCAAAAGCAAACACAAAAAAGGCAAAAGCCACTGCCCTCAAATTCCTTGAAAACCCAATTATTTTTTGATGCACGTCAACGCTAAACAATCTCAAAAGGGAGCAACAACGTCTGAGCCGCCGCCAGTGTAATCATTCTGCACCTTCATCACACCCTCAAAGCTCTTCAACTTCCCAGAAATTGTCCAAAAATATGGATTATTTATTGCATGGTAGAGGGAAACGCACTGGAGCCAGTCCCTTGAAACAGAAACGCATTCATTTTTAATTATAATCTTTTTCTCACTGCAAAATTATTGCACAAATTTTCCCCAGAAACGACAACCCCGTTTCTCTCTTCTTTGGTTTCTCGGAAATGGCCGATGGCAATTACTTCTCAGGTGGCGGAGGCAGAATGTGTATGTAATGCTAGTGTAGTGCATGCCTTTTCTTATTCGATGGTTTTGAGAGAAACTTTCTTCTTTTCATGGAAATCAACGTTTTCCAACGTTGACACGAAAGCTGGTTCCTATTATTTTATGTACAAAAATCATTAACTTAAATATTCTCCCTGTAGGACGACAATGAAGAAGGAAAGAGTTTAATTAGTGGAGAACTGTGGATTATAGATTCAAACATTGTTGAGAGTAATAAGATAATTTTTTTAATATATATAGTTTGGGTAGGATAATATTAAATTTTTTAGAGGATAAAATCAGATGATCGAATATAGATTTAAAGTAAAAAAAAATCTGATCCGAGATAATTACAATTATAAAGTTTTAGATGAAATATATATTTTTCAGATCTAAATTTCAACTTAATTCAAATTATATCCCTTCTCAATTGTGTATATAGTAAAAGAAATAAAAAAATATGTTTCTCTTTCCTAATAAAGATGGTGTATAAATGAAAAAATATTAAAAAGATAATACTAATAACTAGTAATTATTAGTAATAAAGTAGGAAAAAACATAAAAATTTAAACTTGTATTTGGTTGGAATATATTTTGGGAGAAATGGGTCACTTTCTATAGATATCTGCTCTCCCTCCTCCCTGCTCAGTTCCAAGAATTTATTGCTATATATACAAGCATATATGCTCCACGGCTTTCCACATCCCACCTTCCACTTCCAGATACTCTTTTGCTTTGGTTTCTCTGCTACTTTTTCACTTGATTTTCACCCCATGGAAGAGGCTTTCAGGAGACTAAACGGCATCGTTCACGTGCCTGAAACTGACCCGCCGGACTCTGCTATCTCAGAAATTCCGAAGAAGTTCGCCGTCTCAACCACAACCTCCGCCGCTGCTGCCTCGAAGACCACTGGCACTCCTACAGCAGCAACGATAACAAACAAGAGGTCACTCAAAGAGAATGGTGGCCCCGGTGGGACTATGAGGTACCGTGGAGTCCGCCGGAGGCCTTGGGGGCGTTACGCTGCTGAGATACGAGACCCGCAGTCGAAAGAGAGGCGATGGCTTGGCACTTTCGACACGGCTGAAGAGGCTGCCTGCGCTTATGACTCCGCTGCTCGTGCTATGCGTGGGATCAAGGCTCGAACTAATTTTGTTTATCCTGTGACTGAGCATCAATCCGTTAACAACGACCATCTTCTTCCTCCTCCATTCAATTTCTCCAGGCAATCCCAGCCGCCTTCCATCAGGGATGTTAACAGCAAGCATCGTCATCGGCCGTCCTTTGCAAAACCCCAAGTGGGAGACTTCTCTGTGGGGTTTGGGCCACAAAGAAATGCTTCTTTGAACATGCTTTTACTACGTGATCTCTTAAAATCATCTTCAAACCCATCTTTCCTGGCGCCTCCTCCGTCTCGGGTTAACCAATTTCCATTAATCAATGGAGCATCCTCCGCCGCTTCTTCATTATCTTCTTCTTTCTCTATTCCTACCGTGTTGGCCGGTGCTACTTCATTGAATTCACCAACAAGCGACATCACTAGCTCTTTCATTGGCTCTACCATGAGTCTTCCTCGCAAGGAAAAGAATTCAATTCATACTACAGGCGTGGGCGCGCCACCGCCTGCTGCCATATCAAATCCTCAAGCTGATGACATGGAGTTCTTCAGACGGGAATATTCCGATTCCGGCTTGCTGCAAGAGATAATTCAGGGATTCTTACCAAAGCCAACCCCAAAGATATCAGTTACTCATTCTACTCAAGACTCCACTGTTCATTCCCTGAGCGAGTTGAAGGAGAACAAGAAGGACCATTTAGGCGTTTATATCAATCGCCGCCATGGATTCCCTCCGCAGTTCGACAGCTTCAACGGAATCACAGGTCCTCAAGTGGTACCATACTATAACGAGTTACCACCAGTGAACCATCTACAACTGAGTCAAACTCAGGACTGCACGTTGGAAGATATCTATCAGTACCACCCAGATTTCTTGGCAGCCAGGGTTCAAACTAGTTGATCAGCAGCCCAACTAAATGCAAGTGGATGCTCAATTTTAGGGTTTCTCTTGTCACGTTCACTACTGCTAGTAGTTTTATTATTATAGAATGTACTCAATCCATGTACAACTGAGTAAATCATCTTTCTTCAGTTTGATATGATTTACATGGTGAACATGGATCTTATGCTTTGGAAAACAATAATAAAAAAAAGGACAGTAAAAGCGTGTTTCTTGTGGTAAAACTGCGTTGACTTGGGTGTGACATGTATTGTCGGGCTTTTGGGTTCTACGTGATCGTATAAACAATGAAAAGGCATTTGTGAAGGATCTGTGTGTTGATATTCTGATAGCTTTTGGTTGGCAAAACGAAGCGATTGAAAATGGAAAATGTAAGCAAGAAAATGCAAAGGGCTAATGAGACGAGAAAGCCTTTTTTGTGTGTCCGAGGAGGAGGAATAATCTCTGGAAATGCTTGTTTATGGGGACTTTCACTCCTCAACTCTTTACCCTCCCAAACTTTGGCCTGTTGCCTGTTGCCTGTTGCCTGTTGCCTGTTGCCTGTTGCCTGTTGTCTATTGCTGCTTTACGCCTCTAAAAATTCTAATTGTTAAATCATTAATACCAAAGTTACGGACTTTTCCCCACATATTTTTGGTTGTCACGTAAGATCATCTTTTGTGGTCATATTAAGAGATATAAAGGCGTGGAGTTCAATTCAAATATCGCTAAGTTCGACTTGAAAAGTTGAAATTATGTTGGACTTAATTCAAAAATTTATTAATTTAAAATTATTATGTTTAATTCGAACTTAAAATAAAAATTAAGTTTAACTCGACTCAAAAGCTCGCGAGCTTAAAATTTTCAAGTCGAAAATAACTTAAATTCAAACCTTTTCAGACTTAGTTCAATTGAAACTCAAAATCAAGCTTAGTTTGAACTTGAAACTTATGTATATGAAAACCTTGTATTGTATTTAAAAAAAACATATGTCATATTATTAGTATTCATATTTAAAAATTAAAATTTAATATATTATCTTTTAGAGCTATTCTCGAGTTTTTCGAGTAGGGTAGTAAGTGGCTTGCTTCGACTTATTAAGAACTCGAGTCAAATTCGAGTTGAGTCCATTCAATTCGAGTGTTGACTAACTCGAACTAGAGTAGAGCGCGATCCGTCTCATCTTATTTACCGCTCTAGTCATACTAACACTGGTGTGAAATTATCTAATCGTTTTCTACCATTTTATCGATTTAGATTTTATTGAAACCTCTATAAAACTCACGAAATTAAATACAAATAATTCATAATTTTTGGGATTTGGAATATTTTATTTCAAAATTCAAACGGTGAGAAATATTCTTCCAATAAGACAAACATACCTCGAAACTAGCTTCATCATGTAGTTGTTGAAGATGATTGAAGTATGAGAACATTGAACCTTCAGATGATTTTTTGTTATTTTTGAGCGAATTTTGTGAAAAACTACTCTAAGAATTAAAACATGTGAAATGTGAACGTTTTGATATTGATCTTGTCACGGAGGACAATCAATGATGGACAACTATTAATCGACAATGATGATAAGAGAAGTTGATTTTAGACATGGGTCAAATTGGCACGGAAATTAATTAAGTTTCAATATCCAAAATTAAAGCGTTTTAAAATTTAATTACAAAATCGATATCTAAACCAAAGTTCACTAGAAGAAATGACTACATCATCACACCATTAATGATTAAGTACTAAAATCGATATTCAAACTCAGTGTCCTGAATTTAACACAAAACTAAAATTAGGTGATAAAATTGAAACAATTTAAAATTACATATTTTTTGAAATAACAATTTAAAGTTACACGAAACATAAAATTTAGTGGTATTTAATATGATTTATTTTAAATAAAATTATTAGAAAAATATAATCATAATCGATTATTATATTTATATATTATTAAGCAATTAAGCCATCAAATTAATGTTGAATTGAAATGTAAATAAAATTGCAAGTGGGTATTGAAAGAATGTAGTAGTGGACCAGTTGACAGTTCGAAGATTAAATGCGGAATTGGGAGTAAGTTAAAGCCGAGATAGATGGCGATGCATTTATTCATACTAAAACTTGTGTTCCAACTTTGGGAACAGTGGCCTCAGCTGACCTAACCACATGCATATTTTTTATTTCTTATGTTTTTTGTACATTGGCATACTTTTTGTGCATATTTTAAATGCTGTTGCTCCAATTAAATCTTGTATAAAATATACATGATCAAGCACTTATAAATCAAATCAAATCATATTAACATTCAATTGAAAAATAACAAAATTTAGATTATACCACTAACAATCAGTTAATTTAGTAGGATAAATCATTAAATTTCATAAATAAAGTTTAAGAATATGAATCCTAATATATACGAATGAAGTAAGTTGGATTAAAAGAATATGAATCCTAAAAAACATGATAAGCTTGAAATCCAATATGAATATACTGGCCAGTTTGATGTTCATTGAAGCCTTATCGTTGGACCAATTGGTTGTTAATAGGACTTATAGTTGCATGTTCGTTTTTTGTCGAGTCATTGGATAAATCCTTACCTAGGTGTTTTTTTTACTTCATCACAAGAATGATTCTGGGTTAATTATGGGTTAAGCATTTTAATTAATTATGTAAATTAAAAAATCAATCTACATTTGTTATACTAATATTAATGTATAACATGTGAGGTGATGATTTATAATGGTTAACATGGTGGTTAGGAATTAAAATTTATTCATCCTCCTAGAATAGGCGAGGCAGAGTCACAAAAAGAAGACGGGGAGAAAGGGATCTATCTTCTTTGGTTTGTAACTATCTTGTCGTCTATTCTTTTTTGAAAAATGTATGACCAATTTTTTAATAAAAAATGATACGAAAAAAAATGTAATCCAAATCGATCTAAGATTAACCTAACTCCAACCAACCTAATCCAAAAAGAATCTAATATTAACTCCAACAAAATTCGGATGCCATAAAGAATGTACAAAGAACCCTCGTTTGCAACAGTCCCTTTAAGTACAGTAAATCTAAAAAAGGACACATAAACCATTGAGCAGTTTCTTCAATTAGATCTTTAGGATTTTTCCTTTTAAAGTTTATTTTGTAAACTGTAAAAAAATATCACCGGTGAACAGTTGCATTTAAAACATCAGCATAAACTGTAAAAAAACAAGAGATGTTTTCTTCAACTTAATAAAGAAGAAAAGTGTTGGCTTCTATCAGTTTAGACATGCATGCATGCGGCACTGTATCAAAGGGTGTTGGGGAAAGTACATGCAGTGTAGTAGGTAGAAGGCACTGAATCTGCTTTACCATTATTATTGCGGCTTAATTACAAATGTTTGCTGCTTTAAATAAGGAATTCACGGTTAAAGCACTACTGTTTATTGTAGTATCCTTTACCGGTTTGGTCCTTTCAGTATTAATTTAATCTAAACTTTTCATTTGACTCTGATAATATTATTGTTGATTGAATAAGATAATCTTGTTGATTGCTGATGGTTCACAATTATTAATGAAAACAAATTAGTTTTGTTGGACATTGACGATTCACCTCTTTTAATTTAAGTGGGATGTTAAAGTAAAATAATGATCGTTGATCGATATTTCTTTACAAGAGAGTTAAAAGTATAAGGGAAGATGATAACGGTGTAGGGAGAGGAAGTGATCAAGACTTGCTTTTCGATCGTGACTAAGGGATATTTATAATGATCTTAGTAGGTGGAGATAAACATATGGTTATTATGACTATTCATAGGTTAGTAAGTTATATAGATTTGGTCGTCAAATTTTTTATTTTGTTTTAATATATCATTTGAGTCTATAGTAATCCAATTCTATACATTATAGTTAATTAAGAAATTATATTACTGCTAGAGAATATAAATTCATTGGATGTTTGGATTGAAAAAAAATTATTTAAAGATCTTGATAGAAATAAAGTTAACATTTTTCGAAGATGAACTCCAATGGCATAACAATTATAATGTTATTTTCATTCCCAACTGCTAAAGTAAATTGAAGTTAAGTAATTCAAAATATAACATTTTGTAAATTAATCCGAATATGACAATAAAGACTGGAGGCTCCCAAAACCTCGAAAAATATTAATAGTAATCTTAATTTTTTATTTAATATTTGACCCCTTTCAAATATTTAAAAGTTATTTTATTAGCTTAAATTATTAAAATGTCGTATAATAAAATTATAATTTAAAAATAAATGAGATGACTATCCAGCTCAGTTGGTAGAGTACAAGGTTCTTAACTTTGAAGTCGTGGGATCGAGTCCCACGGAGGGCATTTCATAATTCGGAGGTCTTTTACGGAAGCTACTCTCAACATGGTGTTGAGGGCAGCCTACTATCTTGCCTCCCCCTTACCCCATTATATATGGTAGGGGTGTATTCGGTTCGGTTCGGTTCGGGTTTTTCGATTCGGTTCGGTTCGGTTTATCGGTTTTTCAATAAAAAAATCATTTGAAACTATAATTTTTTTTACAAAAATTGTCTATTCGGTTTAATATGGAACAAATGGGTTACATATGAAAAATCCGAACCGAACCGAATCAAAAAAAATGAAACCTTTAAACCGAACCAAAACCGAACCGTTTAAAGTTAAACCGAACCAAACTAAATTATTTTATTCGATTCATATCAATTTTTTTATTTTTTCGATTTCGTTGCTGAGTCCTAATATATGAAAAGGGACAACCATTTTAGTAGGAAAAGATGGGTGAAAAGGTTGTGTAGGTATGGATGTTAAAATAATGGCGGTGTAGACAAGACAACCAAGGTTGTCCCATCTAAGTGTTGCTTATTCTCTGCTGTCGTGTTTACACTGCCACACATACATCTTTTCCCGACATTATTTTAATTATGTACTTCCCTTACATATTAACTCCACCCCTACTTTATTTCTTTCCTTCTATAACTATTCCCTATATTTTCCTCATTTCATTTGCTGATCTGTTTCAATATATATATATATTCTTTTCTCAATTTATGATTTAATTTTCTTCTCTAATTAAGAGGTTAAATTTTGTATTTAAGTTTTTATATTTAATTGGTTGCATGAATTTGATTTATTAGTCAAAATTAATATTTAAATTTTATATTTTGATTTAATTTTTATTTATGGTAAAAATAAATATTATTTTTTAAAGGTCATGGATTGGAGCAATTATGTCTGCTGTGTATACTTTCAATTGATTAAAAAATTATGAATAAATACTAAATTGAAATCATCCAAATTATTAAAAAAAGAATTTAGATACTAAATTGAGTTAAAAAATAAAAGATTTAAAATATAAAATATAGTAATTCATTTCTTTACTCTTTCATCTCAAGCTTATATTGGGTCGGATTTGGCCCAGATCACGAATTGGGTTAGTATTATAAGGCCGAACACATTTATATTGGGTCCAATATTAAAGAACTAAATAAGTTTTAAATAATTAAATTGATTAGTTTTTATCAACAATAAGTTGATTTAATGAGATAAAACATAATATTTTTTTAAATAATATTAAAAATTTAAAATTTGATATTATAATTAAAATAAATCTAATTAATAAGATTATTACTATAATAAATATTTATATTATATATTTTTAAATAATCGATAAATAAATTAGCAGCCTTTAATAATTGTCAAAGGTCACGAAGGCTAAATAATACCTTAAAATCTCCCTATCCATTATCTTAGATTAAAAAATCAGTTAAACGATATATATATTTATACCGATTAAACTATAATTTAACTAATATTATTATAATTATCATATTCAAAATGCTATGAATTCAAATAATTTAAATATGTAATAATCTTTAATTTATATTGAGGATTATGAATAATTTTAAACATTATATTAAAAATAAATAATTCATCGTTAAAAGTTAATTAAGGGGCATATTCATATTAATAAAAATATTTTTATTGTTTTTAAAATAGTGAAATAAGCCTTCATTAAACTTTACTAAATATATTAATGTTAACGCAAGCTTGAAATTTAAAATATTAATCCATCTTATTCTTATCCAAATATCACTAAAGTTAAAATGGTGTGCACAGTGAAATTATCACTTAAGTTAAAAGGGTTTACAGATAACTCAATCATAGTTTCAATACTTAAAATGAATGTTATTATTTTTTAAAGTTCTGAATTTGAGCAACTATGATTTAATTAAATAAAAGTATAAATAAATATAAATTTATAATTATACTAGAATTTTTTTTTAAAAAAAATCACAAAGTACCATTTCAATTTCTCCCCTGTGACGGAACATATTGGTATTAATTTATTGGCCCTTGAATTATTTTTAAAAAATTAGCTAAATACTTAAATATTTTTTCATTCAATTAAGTATTATATTTTAAAATTTAAATAAGTTATCTTTTTTATTCAATTAATATTAAAAAAATTAATTGATTCCATTTATTGATTTAAAAGTTTGTTTGATTTAATAATTCATTTGTGTAAGAAATTCATAGATTTAATTAGTTCTTTTCCCAAAACTTTGAATGTATTTTGTTACCGTTGTTTTAGTTTTTAAAACTTTTAATTAAGATTAATAATTTAATCAAATGATTATCTAATATTTTTAAATGTAATTATAAAAATAAAATAAATAAATTTAAGAATTGATTTGTAATATTAATATATCAACACACCCACAAATTTTTATTTTTTATTTTTTAAGAAGTTCAAAATTTTCAATTAATGCAGGTGCTGAATTATTTGGGATATAATTGTAAGAAACTGATAATATTTAAACTATGAAATGAGATGTTAGATTTTTAAAATAATATCAAAAGTCTAAATTTTAATATTAAATTAAAAAATCATATTTAAAATAAATGTTTATATCATTTGATTTAAATTCATCGATTAATAAATCAAAATATCGATCGATTATAAGAAATCAGTGTCTTGACAACTTTGTATTGAATGTATCTTAATTAATTGGATATCCTTGTCTAGTTTATTAAATCAATGTAGTATTAATATATTTTAAATATCTATATAATTTGTATTAAGTCTACAATGAACCAGTGATGTAATGTTGATGGATACGATGAACATTCTTTCATATTTAGTTTGTTTTATTTATAAGAAGCTTAATATATTTTCATTCTTAGAAATTTATTATCATGCTAAGTTGCATTAATGTTTATTTTAATTTTTAAAGTATGTTTTATTAAAATAATTAGTAGAAATGTTATTCTCAATAGTAGTATATGATAGCGGGTGGATTGTCATGTCCCTGCCGGCCATATATATAATATATATATATATATATATATATATATAATATAACAGGCTGCATTACACGTTGGGACATAATTATAAAGATTTTTTTTTGAAAAATAAACAAATAATTTGATATTATAATTCATAAATAGTAAAAATGAGTGATAAAGCTACATTTGACTTGGGTTTGATAAGGGTTAGTTTAACGTTATTACTGACAAATATTATTGAAAAACATTATTTAAAAATTTAAATTAATCTAATTTGAATTCAAATAAAATATAAAATCACTTAAATTTAAATTAATTAACAAATTAAATACAGATAATTATATAAAATATTTAAATTTGGATATGAAGTTTTCTTATAATTCGACTGTTGACCCGACCTAATCCACACTGACGAGAATATCTGCCATTAAAACAAAAGGGACCCGGGCCCTCCCCACCATTAGATTATCGAGAGGGGAGGGGTCATCATCTAATCTCATATTTTTTTTAATAAGAAATAAAATATTATTGTGTTTAATTTAAATTTTATTGATGAGAATAATTTTTTTTCATCAGTTATTAATAGTTTATTTTTTTGATTAAAACAATGAGTTATAGTCGATAAAATAAAAATCATTTATCGATATTTTTTTTGAGAGGTAAAGAGACAATAGGATATGATGACTATGAAGGATAAGGATAATGATAAGGAAAAGAATATGATCTTCGTTTTTAGACGTTGATATTTTAATTTATTATTTTAAATAAAATTGTTAACATTATATAAAAACAACAATGTCACATAATAATTTTTTAATAACCATTACGATTGAGACACTTAAAATAGTAACGTTTCTAATATTAGATATTTAGATTGACCGAAAAAATATTTAAAGAATTAAATAGAAAAATAGATATAATTTGAATATTAAGTCTTAAAAAATATATAAATGTTGGTTTAGGGTAAATGGATTTGATTAGAAATGTGATGATCAAAGCAGTGGAAAGACACATGTAGCCATATCCAATTGCTATCTCTTTTATCAATATCCTCCCTTTTCTTCAATTCAAAGCTATCATCATCATCTGTTCAACGATCATTCCAGACCCTTGTTAGAGGTACCAAATTTCCCATCTTCTTCAATTGATCAAGTTAAGCTGCATAGCTTTATACAAACGTTGTTTAATTTTGATGTTGATGCTAATCATTGAAACTTGGCAGGAGAAAGAGCGGTACGATGGACAGTGGGCAGATGTCAAAGTCAGATCTGAAGGTGGAGGTTCCATCGGAGACTGAAACCGTAGAGGCTCATGCGGCACCATCACAGCCGAGTGTCACTAGGACCAGTTGTTTGTGCTCTCCGACCACGCACCCCGGTTCGTTCCGCTGCAGGCTTCATCGAGCACCGAGTCTCAAGCGGACCAAAAGCATAGACTCTCAGTCTACGTCTAAGCAAGTTTCTCCCACTGCTCAATGATCTTGTAGTTCTGATGTACGAAGCCTCAATAATTCTCTTTGTATAATTTATATATATATATATATAGTGTATCGTATGCGTTGGGAAAGACTTGGCTATGATATAAATTTTCTGGGTTTTCTTGCTGAACTTTTCCAGTCATCTCCTCATCAATGATTGGTTCATGCAAAGCTCGAGACATGTATAAACTTGATTCTAGGATTCATCAATGAGTATGTTATGTTTTTCGTACATACATAACATATTTTTATTAATTTCGATGATCAAACTGTTACAAGCTCAACAGCTATAGTAAACATATTAAGCAGTGTGTGCTTGTAAATGGCACTGAAATTCACCACATAATTTGATGAGCCTGGTTAATGAATAATTACTGGAAATCAGCAGATGAAATGCTGAAAATGTGAAGAAATTGGAAGAAGAGAAAGTGTTATTATTGTTATTGATGAGACGGGGACATCTGAACCAGCATGCAACCAATTTCAACAACACAGCCGAGGGAATCGTATCTCAGAGATTTGCTATTACTCAGGACAAGATTTCGAGCATTAAAGTTTGCTGGGTGTTTTCCCTTGACGGAAGGCCATAAGCAAATTCTTGACTAATAATCAATGGCATTAGGTAAAAGCCTCCTCTACCACAAATTATCCAATTTCTCACGGGCTCCACTTTTCAAGCTTCAGGAGACGTTCTCTATGCAATCTTGTAAAAAGAAAGGGGGTAAATTACATTATATAATAGTGAATTTTAGATTATTTATCATTTATATTATTGTACTTTCACTTGCTTCGATTATAATTTTGATCTCAATTATGCTACTCTGCTGTTAAAATTCAAGCAACATGGTGGTATAGATAAAGTGGTGTCGTTTTGGTGCAACTATTGATGCTTATAACAACGTCGTTTTAGACACTAAATTTTATAGATATATTGATTTTGTTATTAAACTTTTAAATAATTCACTTTTTAATATTATAATTTTACGATCATCACTGGAAGTGAATTGTTGCCCATAAAAACATTTGCATTTCACTCTTCTTTTTTCTTCTATGATTATTTTTTCACGAAATCCACTCAAAATCATTGAAATTAAACAAAAAATTCATATTTTTAGAGATACGGGGGCTTTCTCATATTTGAGGGATTTGTTCAAAAATCAAAACGGTGAGAAGAATTATTTCGAGAAGATGAAACTAGTTTCATTAGACAACCGTTAAAGGAGATCAAAGTATTAACATGCTAAACTTTTAAATGAATTTTCGTTGATTTTGAGTGGGTTTTGTGGAAAACAAATTTGATGAAAAGAAAGAGAAGTGAAATACGAATATCTTGATATCGGTCTTGCGACAAATAGTGATTAGTGATTGCAATGATTTACTACCAACGACGATAAAAAAATAGTGTCAAAAAGTGAAACATTTAAAAGTTTAGTGCCAACATCCATGCATCTCTAAGTTTAGTGCCTAAAACAACATTATTATAAACATCAATAACCGCACCAAAACAACATCATTTTGTCACGTTATCTTGCCGTTAAAATTTAACAACTCAATCGTATAATTAAAGTCAAAACTAAAATTTAATTTTATAATTAGAAGTTTAATAATATGAACGATACATTATATATAATTAAATGACACTTCGACATAATCATGAATTTCTCAACAAAATAATTTTAATTATTTAAGGGTAAAGTACACAAATGGTCCCCTGACTATAGAGTGATACTTTGTTAAGTCTTCTGACTATTAAAAGTTATGAAATAGTCCTTAGACTATATGGTTCTGCTTTGTTGAGTCTTCTGACAATTAAAAGTTATAAAATTATATCTTAATTAGTCATATGTTCTAAACTTGTCATTCTCCTTTAGAAAATTGGCGACCGTCTGATATGGATATTAACATGTTAACTGAGATATGATAAATTTTGATCCCAAAATCATTTTAGTTTTATTTTATGGATTGAATCTTCGTTTACATTATACCGTCGAGGCAGTGCTTGAAACCTTATGTTGGCAAGTCAATGGTTGAAAGCAACAATGATGCTAGTAGACATTATTAAAATATGATTCTATCATATCTTAGTAAATAGGTCAACGTCTAACACAAACGAACGTCAACTTTTTAATGAAAAACTACAATTTTAGAACATATGAATAGTCATGTGACCATTTCGTAACTTTTAATAGTCGGAGAATTCAACAAAACAAAGTATTATAGTTGAGGAATTATTTTATAGCATTTAATAGTCAGGAGACTCAACAAAGCAACATCCTATAATCGAATGATCATTTGTGTATTTTACCCTTTATTTAAATACAACTCAAAGGATGAGCCTTTGTTTTATACAACTAAAATATATTACGGAGAATTCAATGAATATGTTATGAAACCAACATGATTGATAAATCATAATACGCAAGCTAAAGCATTTAATTCATGTGAACAGCTAAGCCAAGCAGATTTGGTTTCATTGAATCTGTCTTCCCATTTTTAATCATTTCATTAATCTTATCATTTTTTAGATACGGCCCAATGTAATTTGGAATAAGGACATCCGAATTCAAATTATTATATCATGTTGTATCATTATGCACATTTAAATTATTTTTATTTTTAACATACGAGAAGTTACGATTTAAACCAATCAACTGAATTAAGTCTCGGATTTTACATTCATGTTCTTTGATTCTAAGCTAAAATTACAAGGCATTTACTCAAAAGACAACAAGAAAATGAAAGAAAAAGAAGAGAGTATATTTTACCCTTGAAACAAAATTCACTCAGTTCTTTTCACTGCCACTTCTATTGATGGACAACAACTTACTGAACATTTTTTTAGGCCCCGTAGGTAAAGCACAGAAGGCCTTGAACTTGGAATGTCTTCCCATTCCATCCGTATTCACATCGAATTCGTCCAAATGGTCGTCTTCGGCAAGCTTCATCCTTAGTGTCGAAGTTCTCGACTTGGGCGACGTAAGACCCGAAATGCTCCATTGATCGTAGGATCGAATGCTGGTACTAGTGCTTAATGTTCCTTGAGGCCTTGATGGATCAATGTTATGGGCAGCTAAAAGTGCGTTGAGGTTGCTAGGGAGATCGGCTACTTTTCCCCCGGCCATGGCGGCTCGAGTTTGCTCGAAGAAGAGAACTTGAATCACTACTCTTAGAGGGAGTTTTTCATTTTGTGCAGCGTGCATGCAGGCCTCGACGGAGAGTTTTTTGCAGTCGAGTATGCGGCACAACCTTTTCCTTTCGCTCTTGTTTAAACCCGGGTGTGCCTGTACATACAAAATGAGAGCTACAATAAGAACTTATGAATTGAGAACATGAAAAAACACTATTAAGTCAAGATAGTTGGTTACCTTGAGATAAATGTCAATAGCTCGGTAAAGATCATCGTGATCGAGCCGTGAGAAATAGGGGATTGTCTCGGCGATTGCGATGAATTTCGATAGTGGTAAGTTACTATGTCGAGCAATCTCTTGAAGATACCCATCGATGATTTTGGCTACTTTCAGTTTGGAACTGTGTGATGCTGAAGAAGACCTCCTACTTTCTTGAAACTCAAAGTCGATATTCTCGGCCGAACGGGACCTTCTTCTCCTTTCGGATCCGAGCTTCAATCTAGGAGGACTAGTGGGAGGACTCTGTCCTTGTAACATGAATTGTTCCAAAATGGTGAGGACAATGTCTACATCGTAACCGGAACCTGTATCGCTCGAGTCCGATAGAGAGGGTATTAACAGATCAGTGACTCGTGCTTCCTCTAACTGAAGTGCCACTCTTCTAGCCAATTCCATCTTCGAAGACAATGAAACATTAAGAACGTTAGCAGCTTTCAAGAGCTTAAGTAGAAAACTGCAAGAGACAGCGCCTTTCTCTGATGGGAGTAAACTTGCAATCGTTTCCAACAGCAGCCTGTGCTTCGAAGAAACGTCATCATCCGAATCCGAATCCGATGTTCCTCCTCGGTTGGCCTTCACTTTTTTAGATATATTCGGCAGCCATCGAGATGCATACATTTGCAATGCCTCCCCTATGAGATTAGAGGGTATTTTCCCACCGGATTTAATAGCAATCATGGTTCTCCAATAAAGATCTATCCCCAACTCAGCCATGTCCTCTGCCCACCAACATTTGGTCACCGGTTTATGCCGCCAGCTCTCGGTTCCGTTACAAGACATATCGCTAACCCTTCTCGAATGACTATGCGACAAGCTTGCCTTCGAAGGGTTGGTTGAAACTTTCCACGCAACCGATTCGACGCATCTGCTAGTAATTCCAAGGTCTTCACACCATAAAGGAAACGCTTTGGTGCTTTGTAACGTCACTACACAATCTCTCCACCCTTGTAAGATGTAAGAATTAAAGAACACTTGGAGCTTGTACATTAAGTTCCCCTTCTCGACATCTTCCGTCATCTGCAAGTACTCGGCCGCGCATTGCGCCGCCACGATGTTATACGCGCTGAGAGTGATCGTGATGCCGTAACAGAACTTAGCGCAAAGCTCGAACGCCTCGATCCCACCGGGGAAATCGGATAATTGGATTACTTCTTGTGTTGTTTCATAACATAATCTCTGCAACTTCAAACACTTGGACAACAGAGGAAACTGCATATGCAAAAACAAAAAATGTAAGGAATCAACAACTGAAATCAACCAGAATCAAGACAGAAGTTTTACCTTGTGAAGCAGATATTTAGTTCCTTTAACTTCGATTGTAAGATCACTAAGGACTTCAGAAGAAACAGTCCTGCAACCAGAAAATAAAGTTCCATGGCATCTTTCTTGAGAAAATCAAAGCTTAACCCTGAGTTGAATCGGTTCATGAGAATCTTACCTTACGGACTCGGCTGTGTAGAAAGTGTCGGGCCGAGATCCGAGTTTCATAAACTTCATGACCGAGTTTTGTGGGTAATGCGTTATAGTTTCTCTCTGTTTCTCTGGGTTTTATATAAAGCAAAATGGTGACAAGAATCCAAATGAAGCAGCCTACAAGAGCTTTCCGTCGAATCCCATACAGAATCTGATTTTGACATGCGAAACAAAGAATCAAAGATCATGTATACTTCAAACTCTCACCGAGTGAATGAATGCACAAAATTCATTAGATCAATGTAAAATTCTTATGACCATGAGAAAGAGTCAATTTGGCAATGAGTCTTATGACCATGCGATGCCAGCGTGCAATGAGAAAGGCGTGGTCCACTTGTGCCCCTTTTTACTCATCATTGCTACATTAAATTAAAAAAAAATCGAATATATTTAAATGTATAATTATCTTTTATATGACATATATTTAAGAATCGGACATACTTTTTTAAAATTATTTTTCTATTCATAAAGCTTGACCTTAATATTTAGAAACAGAAATAGAATAAAATTTTATTATACCCGAGGCTTGAGCACGGTCCAGTGCCGAGACCCGGGGCTTGTGTTGGCTCGATCAATGGTTACCTTTAGGCAGCTTTGGTGATATTGAAATTTCGTGGGAAAGCTAAGGATACCATGCGGAAATTGAGTGGGCACTGGAGAGAGGTAAAGTCTTTGGGGGTGGGGGCGTAAATTGAAGTCAACCCTACGTTAGATAATGGATGATCCACAAAGACTGTAATGGTCACCCAACGGGGTGGCCACAGCAGACATAGCCTCCTTTAGTAGGACCATCGTACCCCCCACTCACTTCATTGGAATCTCTAAAAAACACAGTTGGACGAGTTATTAGATTTTTAAATAATATCAGAGTTTAAATATAATGATACTAAGAAAATTGAATTAAAAGAGGTGTTTTAAATAGATTCTTTACAATATTTGATCTAAATTAATCGATTAATATATTAGATACTATAATCATTAGATGATAGAGTTGTCACGGTTCCATTTGTTCTTTTGGGGATTTGCTTTGGGAAACCAACTAACCAGAAAATACACAGAATCCAACTTTATTTTATCTGTTCATCCTCGTGCTTGAAATTCTAATGAAGTCCCACCATTTAAGTATATAGTAATACAAAATCATAAAACAAGGAGAGGGGACTGAGACACTGAAATGACGCAGCTGGTGTCTGGTTTGGTGATTTTCTAGTGAGCGAAATGTTACACAAGCTGGTGGTGATATCGCTGTCTGTCTGTTTTGTAATAGCTTTTTAAGGCTTCAAATTTTGTGTTTATTATAGAAAAACGCACACGCACGGCACGACTCGAAGCTTGGCTGTGGCCGGAATCTTGTTGTGCTTCGAGAGACTTATGAACTGTAACCTTCAGAGTTACAGGGGGACCTCTCCAGTGGCCTGTCACACCGTCTTCGGCCTCGGCCTGACCCTGACCTTGCATGGGAACCCAAACTCACTTTCTGCTTTTCCAACTTGGTGTCCCCTCCTCATTTACCTGTTGATTGATATAACCTCATTTGCCTACGTGATCTACTAAATTGAAATTCAAGATCTGATATTTAGATCTATTTGGCTTGTTGATCTATAAATAGTCATAACGACTTTATGTCTAACACAATTAGCTAGAATCATTTAAATACTTCTCAGCAACAATTGAGAGATAGGATCCTTATCGACCATCTCTTTCATAGAGACCCCATTTTCTTCTTTTGCTTTCATAATCTCACAAGAAAACATTAATACTTGTTATCTCATTAGTTGCGATTCATCGTTTAAGTTAAAAAAACGTGAACCTACAACAATCGATGAGATAAATTTGTTCCATCAACCTCATATACATACACGACTAAGGAGTAAGTAACAACATCAATCAGTTCACATTCTAGTTCGGGTTTATGGAAAATCTCAGTCACCATGATTAACCATATGCTAAAGCAAAATGATGGATACTGAACAGGATATGTCTTGTGTTTAGTCAAATTATACGATAATTACTTTGTTAACAACATTACTGTGGTTAATGGACAAGGAGAAATTAGTCAATAAAACATAAGCGTTTTAAAGCTTGAAAAATCACAATTTGAAGTTGTTAAATGATGGGATTTAGCTGCACTTTTGCCCCTCTTTTTGCTGTTTCGGTAGCACAAAAGATGATTCATCCAGCTAAGAAATTGAAAATCCAAGGCTTGAATGAAGGCTGAGGCAACATTGTTTTGCCTTTGATTCTGCTACCAATGATTTGAATGTTCCAATCACTACCTCATCATCTTTAAAACTTTAAGCTTTACACCGGAGTTGAAAAAGTTGGTCGATTACACTAATAAAATAAAGGCTGAAAGCATTGAGCCTGCCAGCTGGGGTTGCTTAGCCATTATAACCGGCAAATTAAAACCCATTTTTATGAACCCGTCAAGTGGTACACGAGGTAAAAAAGAAGATTATTATTTTTATAAATTTTTTATTTTAACAATTACGTTTTTAGTGTGTATGCATTATCAATAGATTAAGAAAATTTTGAATAATAATACACTATAATCTCCTCGTACTATTAATTTTTTTTTATAACTTTAAAAATTATGCAAGCGCATTGGTCTTACTCACCTCTTATTTGCTAATGATCTATTAATCTTCTGCAAAGGCACTGTGAATTCTGTCATTGGGGTCACTTCTGTTCTTGATGTTTTTTATGAAATGTTTGGTCTTAAATTAAATGCTTCCAAATGTGAACTTTTTTCTGTTGGTGCTTCTTATGCTACTATTGAGGAATTGAAATTAATCACTGGATTCAAAATTGGTAGCCTGCCAATAAGGTATCTAGGCATTCCTCTGGTTACAAGGAAAATTGCAGAAAAAGATTGTTCTACCCTTATTACATCATTAAAGCTCGGTTGCATCATTGGTCTGGTAGGGCTTTTCTTACCCTACTCAGTTATTAAAAAGATTGAGTAGTTATGTTCTAGATTCTTCTAGAAAGGGGCTGATAAACCTGCTGCCGGTGCTAGAGTGAGTTGGCAGAAAATCTACCATCCTAAATCGGAGGGAGGTCTGAGACTTAAGAACTTGAAAATTTGAAACAAAGCTTGCATGATGAGCCTCATTAAGAATATTCTGCCTGGTGAAGGATCTTTGTGGGTGGCTTGGCTAAGGAGTTACATGTTTAATACTAATGATTTCTGGTATGTTGTTGTCAAAACTAATATGAGTTGGAGCTTAAAGCAAATTTTGAAGCTAAGGACTGAAGCTTCCTCTATTTTGCCTTCTAACTCCAAGAAAGTTTGTGATATATGGAATGGCATTAGGGTGAAGAATCCTAAAGTTCATTGGCACTCTCTGCTATGGTTTCCTCTTCTTATTCCTAAACACAGCCTTATTGCTTGGATGATATTTCTTGACAGACTCCCTACAAAAGAAAGACTTCACCGAATGGGGGTTGATAATGAATGCCACTGCATCTTTTGTGGTGCTGGTATAGAAACCAGAAATCACTTATTTTTCGAGTGCCCGGTTGCTACTGCATTATGGTTTGCAATCTTCTCTCTCAATGGTCTTCGGTTTAGGCATCTTTCTTGGGATTCCCTTTATGATTGGGATGTTGCTACTTGGAAGGGTATATCCCTTCTCACTTCTATAATGAAGATTTCGTCAAATGCATTAATCTACATAATCTGGAAAGAAAGAAACAAGAGGTTTTTTCAATGTCATGCCTCAACTGTTGAAGCTATGTTCAGTACTATCAAGGAAATTGTTGGATTTCAACTAAGGGCAGGTCTATTAATAGATTAGACAATGTTAATATTACTCTTTGTAATCAATGGGATATAGTTTGATTTTGATTGATTGCCATTTTTGTTTTTAAGGCAATCTTTGTAAATTCGAACACTGTTTGTTTTTTTAGCAATTTACTGCTCTTTGGATAATAAAATCAAATTATCAAAAACAAATATTAGAATTGATAGTGATAAACTGAATATAGACCGTAAAACGAATATTTACTAACGACACTGTTAAAATAGGGAAGAAACACAAAGTCCCATGTGTCTGCTGTTGTTATATCCTTGGTGTTTACAGTTGTGAATGCAAGCACAGTGGACTGAGGTTGACCCATCTTCTGATTTGTTGGTGTGGGTTCATATCAACTTTATTAAAGTTGACAAACAAATACGTGTCGTTCGATCTTAGATTTTAGGGTTTGATGTTTGAAATTGAACGTATTTCTTTGGTTATCCATAGTTGCATTATTGATAAGCAACACTCTTATTTGTAGTTAAAAAAGTGAATAGAAAATTAGTTGCAAAAGATGAGCAATTTGGGTATAAAAGTTAATCCAATGGTTTTTTTAATTTGATTTATAAGGTTAGATGTGCATTTTTAATTATCTGTATTTAATTTATTGATCTATTAATTTATATGTGATATTATAAAATTTTATTATAGATGACTCTCTCAATCTAATTTATTTTATTCATAACGTTATGAATTAAGTCTTTAACCTTATTTAAAGACTCTAATATATCCCTTATGCTTAGAGAATATACATATTAAGATGGATATGTGTTAAATCGAGTCAGACTTTTGGTAGATCAAAATTTGATCCGAGCATATCAACCTTTCACTTGTCAAATAACTCTACTTGAGTTTAAGAAGGCTCCACCCCTCTAAAATCTGACCAAATTTTAGGGATAAAAACTTGTATATGTCCTGATACAACCCATATATATATATATTGATTAGATAAAATAGGGATTTAATTGAAAAAATATATAGAAATATGATTATTAGGCAAATACCCTTAAATATGTAAGGTTAATTATATTTTTTTGGTTCAAGTTGAATCATTTTTCATTTTAAATTTGAACTCAACTCGACCCAACATTATATTTTTTTTAGGGGAAAAAATAACTGACTTGAACTCTTTTTTTTAGATCCCATAGAGCCGAGTTGAAAGTAGTTGATTCCGGATGTCATGCTCATCCTTAATATATATGTATATGTAAATTAATTTTAATTATATTATTTTCTTCTTTTATGGTAAATGAAGGGAAAACAAAACAATCAAGCGAGCACTATTCTTGGTCAAGCCACACCTAGTTAATGTCACTTTTGTTTAAACTAAAGCTACTTTTTCATAGTAAAATCTTTAGGTAAAGATACAGGTCTTCCTGCTTTAACAATCTAAATCTGTCAAGTTTTGCATATTTTTCATCCCAAAGTTGATTGCTTGTCTGCCAAATTTGTCTTCTTTACCGCGACAGAGTGATTGATAAGTTAAATAATTTTAAACCGCAAATCTATTCAATCTCCTTTTAAAAAAACATAATCATATGAATCAATCGGTTTAAACTCCAGATTACATTGTGGACTGAATTTATTTATTATGGCTCCCCCATAACACTTACCGAAAAGCTTGTGAACCTTCATGGAGGAGCAAACTAAACGGAGACAAAGACCGAACAAGACCAGATCAGAATTAGACCGTAGCAAAGCTAGGTTTAGTGCTGTAAATGAGATGACACATATAGCAAGTTACTCGAATTCGATTAAGTTAAAGCTCCGATCAATATTCAATTTGAATAGACAGATTCAAGTTCTTAAGGAGTCGAAACGAGCTAGTTATACATGACTCGAAGGTTTTTAAGCTTCAATTGAAATAAGTTTGAGAATGTTTACAATTCAAGTTTTTTCGAGCTCGAATCAAGTTTCAATTTTTGATTTCAAGTTTGAATCAAATTTAACAATTTTAAACTATCTATTTTTTGAGTCAAGAACAATTTGAAACTTTTTGAATCTATTCGAACTCAATAATATTTGAACTTCACTGGACTCATTTACAGCCCTAAGTCTAGGCTAGTGGATTGGGTTAGCCATGGACGAAGGCTTTCCTTCAGGCCAACAAAAGCCAAATGGGCCACGTTTTGCTGAACTAGTATTATATAAGGTTGGGCTCTACTTTAAGTGCCATAGGCTATCATGCTTCTTTCATCCCCTTGAAAATGAACAGTACAATTTGTGTTTTGTTTTATATTGGAGAGAAAAAGAGAGAATGACTCTTTTTTTCTCTATTCTAAAAAAATATATTATATATTTTGATAGTCACATGATCTTTCATTAATAAGATAAAGTAAGATGTTTAAAAAGTTAAATTTAATTTACGAGATATAAAAAGATGACAATCAAGTGGTCTTAATGATAAAAGGAAATATTATTTTCTTTAGAAGTTCTGGATTCGAGTAATCGGGTGTGTATTGTCAATTATTTTAGATAAACACTATATTATAATCACCTTAAATTATTCAAATAAAAAAATAAGAATTAAAAAGAACAACATTCTTCTTTTTATTAAGACTGCTTAATAAGTTAAATATTAATATTAAGATTTGGAAATGTCGACCCATTTCCTAGTAGGTGGACTATATGCCTAGATCCAAAGACCCCACTCGTCATAATTCAAACACGTTGGTCTTTAGCATTTGTAATCAGGTGGACGAATCGAGTTCAAATATTATTGAGTTTGATTTAATTTAAAAGTTTTAAAATTAAGTTCGATTCGAAAATTTACGAATTTAAAATTTTTTAAGCCCCACTCGAATAAAAAATTGTATATCGACTCGATCTCGAACCCGTACCTTAAATACATAAAAGTCTTATATTATATATATTTTTAAAAAATGACATATAAATGTTAATATTATTAATGATTTAATTTAAAAACCTAAAATTTCAATATATTATTTTTTTGAGTAACTCGCGAGTTTTTCGAGTCGAGTATCAAATAGCTCACTTTGGCTCGTTAAGAATTCGAGTCGAGTTCGAGCTTGAGCTCAAGTCCATTCGATTCGAGTTTTGACTGAACTTTGATTGAGTCGATCTTTATTAACTCGCAATCTATCTTGTCTCATTTATAGGCCTAATAACTACTAAACGTCAAACGACGGCGATGACGAATATTTCATAGGATAGGACTGTTGTTAACAAGTCATTAAGTATTTAATTATATTTTATCTTGGGTTAATATTTTAAATTTTTTAAGATATTAATATCGAATTTAAAATTATATATGAATTCTTTTTAAATTTATTATGATTTAGATATTACTATAAATTAGTCATGTTCATGCTTTTTAGATATATATATTCATATATATTTTGATTATTAATATGATTATACATTATAATAGATAGAAATTCTAACGTTAGAGATATAACAAAAATTCTCCACATTTATTATAAGAATAAGAATGATTCTTTTGATCTAATTTAGTTTTATCATGATACTAGAAATTACATTTTAAATTACATTTTAAAAAAATAATCTCTCATATCATAAAATAATTACATTTTTTTTGAATTGAAAGAAGCCTAAACAAGCAGGCTAAAGTTTAACTATCATGAAAATAGTTTGCTGGGAGGTCACTGGCTAAAATGCTCTCCGGTTCTGCAGGTGGGGGGTATCGTGAATCACTAATTGAAAGTGATGAGGTGGAGCAGTCTTTGTGGTTAGCTTGTCTGCGACTTGATTCTCCTCACATGGAATCCAAAGGATGTCCGTTATCCAAGCGCGTTTCCTCATGTTTATTATTGCACGAACGAGCGAGAGAGAGCTGGTAATAGCATTGTGATCGTCGAGAAGGTGTACTACTTGTTTGTTGTCCGTTTGGATTTGAAGGATCTCAAGGCCATAATCCCATGCTACTTGAAGTCCGACATAAATCGTCCATAACTCAGCTTGAAGAAGAGTGGATACACCAATGTTTTTTGCGAAACTACCCAACCAGCTACCAGAGGAGTCACGAAGCACACCTCCAATGGAGCCATCTCCAGAATGGGTTGCAACACCGCCATCGGTGTTAAGGCAGAACCATCCCGCAGGGGGTGGTTTCCAATGGCCTTGGTCATGTGTGTTTTGATGCACAGGGGTGTTGATGGTAGGAGAAGACTCAAAATGACGGGCCCAAGCTATGCTGCAATGAAGGACAACTTCTCTAGAATTTGAATCAGCGGTAAACACCATCTCATTCCTTTGCTTCCATATCTGCCAAGCCAAAGAAGCAAATAGAAAAAACCATTGTGTATTAAAAACGACATTTGTACCCGACTTGGAGAGGTTGGATAACTACCAATTTGGTAGATTCAAAGAACAGAAATCCTGCTACGATGATAAAGGAAGCACTTGATTCCATAAAGAACGTGCCATATTGCAGTCACGGAGAATATGGAGAATGCTTTCCTCGGCGCAACCACAGATGCGACAAGAAGGGTCGTAAGTGAGGGATCGTTTACATCTCTCTAAGTTGGTCATAGGCTTCTCTTTAAGCGCAAGCCATAAAAAGAAGCGAATCCTTTGAGGAATCTGCAATTTCCAAATAAAATTCCAATTTTTATTCTCATCATCCCATTTTTGCTCAAGCAGCCATTGATAAAACTAGTGGCAAAGGTTCCAGTGGGTGTCCATCTCCAAGTACAAATATCAAGGCCATCAGACACATTAGGTGGTTTGATGTTCATAATGCGTGGGATTGCAGTAGGCAATAATAAGTTTGAGAGTAATTCAAAATCCCAAGTACCATAAAGAGTCACCATGTGGCTGGTTTTCAAAGAAGTGTCGATGCTATTTTGCGACAGAGCATAAGGTCTAAGAGATCCAAGAGAGGGTAGCCAAACGTCATCCCAGAAATTGATAAGGGTGCCATTACCAACTGACCACGCAAGGCATTTCCGGAGAGAAGGCCACGCCTTTGATAAACCTAGCCAAAGAGGAGAGCAACTCGACCTTGAAATTGTAGCAGGGCAAGTTTCCGTGACTTTATACTTTTGGCGGAGTTGAATCCAGTAAGCATCAGGACGAGTCGCTAAAGCAAAACCAATTTGTAACATAGAAGTAGTGTTCCTGGGATCCCAAGACCACCTCTGGCAATCGGAGGACATTGCATAATGGTAGATTTAACTAAATATTAGTAATAAAGATTTGAAGACATTGCCGACCCATTTCCAAATAGGAGGACTTGATGTCACAATCCAAAGACCTCACTCGTCACAGTTCACACATGCTGGTCTCTAGTCTTTGTAATCAGGCTCAAAGCATGACTACTAAACGACGGTGCTACGGGTTTTCTACGGCATTATTAGGGATTAGCACGGACATGAATTTAATGAATTTCAACTTGACTCATATTTATTAGATTGGGTTAATAAGAAAAACGAGTTCGGGTGAGGTTAGATCAGATTTTTTGAAGTATAAGTTTGGGTTAGGTTGAATTCGGGTTTAGGATAAAAAATACCTATTCGATCTAAAAATAATATAATTATACCTTGTATATTTAGAGATAATTATAATAATATAACTCTATATTTTCTCAATTACATCTCTATCATCGAATGAAATTAAAAATTATATACATTTGTATTAGATCGGGTGTATGTTTTATCTCAAAAGACAAATCGTGTTTTGAGTTAGCTAAAATTATCCAAAATCTTGTCATAATTAGGTTTTAGGTGGAAGATGCATTTTTCTTGGGTCGGATCAGGTTGATCGGAAACTCGACCCATGCCCTTCTTAAATTAAAAATAAAAATAAATTGATAGGATATATAAATAATAAGAATTAAATGTTTAATCATTATAATAATTTTATTAACTATAGATGCTTTTGATTGACACAATTTAAATAGTTAAATAATTTAATTAATTAAATTAAAAGAAAAGTATTAAATAAAAATTTCTACAATTTAGTGGTCATATATTATTTATTCTAATAAAAATATGTATAAAAATGAGATTATAAATATAATTCAACGACTATAATAAGTATTAAACCAAGACGGAAATGGGAAGGTGGGGGTACAAGTAGAAATCTCTCTCTTTCACGTTGGGTATTATTCGTCTTTACATCTGCCACCCATTAACAGAGAGACACCAGCTCTTTATTTTGAAGTTTTATATATTTTTCTCCTATATTTGTCATTAATTATTATTGATTATTTTGTATTAAACGAACCATTAAAGTTAGATATTTTCCTTCTACTTGTTTGTGAGAAAGTTTCTCTTCGGCCCTTTGGCTTCTAAGAGAGATTAGACAAGGAAATAGGGAGCCAGGGAGATCTCGATAGCTTATTTCTTCAAGCTCATCTTTCTGGGTTTTCTCAACACTGGCCTAAAAATATTTCCCTTTCTCAGATTTCCTTTTGTAAAATGTGGTGGATGATGAATGAAGGAGGCGGCCATTATTGTACCAAAAAAACTGATGATATCTGTGGAGGTGTTTGCGGCCAGGTACTTTCACTATTCTTATAATCTTGTATATGTTTCAATTTTTGGGTTGAAGTTAGCTGCTTGATATTACCTGCTAATTTGGTTGTTTTCTGGGTTTTGATTGAATTTTGAGCAAATGCCTTTGTCTTTTGATTTGGGGATTTGGAAATCATAGCTGCTGATTTGTTATCGATCTGATATTATTTTTGTCTAATTTCTTTGAAGGTAAATCGTAAAGATGTAATAAGTAATCTGGGAAAAGAATCTGAAAGGGGATCGCCGTTCGCAAATGAGCTGCATATATTCATTCCCTTGCGTTTTCCTATTATCTGGTTTTCCCTTTCCAAACTGTTATGCCTACTGTGTTCAAGATGATTTCTTTGATTCCCTGCTGGATTTATAATATTCATGTTTCCATATATCGGTTTGTGTCATATGGATCCCGCCCATAATACTAAATTGCCGCCGCAATGCATTGTAACGGCTGTACGATAACGTATTTCAAAAGTAATCGCGACATCATAATCATTTAATCCATAATATTCGCATTCGTGACACTGCAGTCGCAACCGTAATTTAGTATTATTCAAAAGTCATCACGACATCATAATCATATCATCCGTAATGTCCGTAATGCGACACTGTAGTTACAATGTAATTTAATATTATAGTATTATGATGTATCCTAATAGATTTGAATAGCGTTAATATGGTATTGTCTCTATGGTACAGGAATCAAGCCGGCTGAGCTTGTCTAGAATCCGCTGCATACTGCGTGGCATTGATTTGAAAACATATATTTTCCTATTTATACTGTCTCCGACGTGCATATTCGGTGTATATGTTCACGGGCAGAAAATTTCCTACTTTTTCCGGCTTCTATGGGAGTCTCCACCCAAGCCTTTTCATGATATTCCCCATTATTATCACGAGAATGTATCGATGGAGATGCTCTGCAAACTACATGGTTGGAGGATTTGTGAATTCCCGAGACGGGTTTATGATGTGGTGTTGTTTAGCAATGAAGTCGATATTCTTACCATTCGATGGCAAGAGTTGTACCCTTACGTAACGAATTTCGTTCTTCTCGAGTCTAATTCAACTTTTACCGGAATCCTGAAGCCTGTGGTTTTTGCTAGTCATCGAGATCAGTTTAAGTTTGTTGAGCCGAGGTTGACTTATGGAACTATTGGGGGAAGGTTCAAGAAAGGAGAAAACCCATTTGTTGAAGAGGCTCTGCAGCGAGTAGCATTGGATCAGCTTCTCAAAATAGCAGGAATTTCCGATGATGACTTGCTGATAGTGTCGGACGCCGACGAGATACCGAGCACGCATACTATCAACCTCCTCAGGTGGTGTGATGACATACCTCAAGTTCTTCACCTTCGGCTGAAGAATTATCTTTATTCTTTTGAGATCCTTGTAGATAACAACAACTGGAGAGCATCGGTCCATCGGTATCAGACTGGTAAAACAAGGTATGCACATTACTGGCAGACGGATGAGATCTTGGTGGATGCAGGGTGGCACTGCAGTTTTTGTTTCCGTCGCATCAGCGAGTTCATATTCAAGATGAAAGCTTACAGTCATAACGATCGAGTGAGGTTTTCCCCTTTTTTAAACCCGAAACGAGTTCAAAGAGTAATTTGCAAGGGTGCTGATCTGTTTGACTTGCTGCCGGAAGAGTACACATTCAAGGAATTAATTGGGAAAATGGGGCCTATTCCTCATTCCTTCTCAGCTGTTCATCTTCCATCGTATCTCCTAGAGAATGCTGATAAATAAGTTTATTCTACCTGGAAATTGTTTGAGAGAACATGAGTGATTCTTTTAATCACCTGTAAAGGCTAATCAGAAAGTTCAACTGAACTATTAATGACTGCGACGTGTGACCGAGCAGTGTTGTTCACTGGTGATCGGAGACTTGGATGAATGCTTGGAACCTCTAGGTATGTATAGCCAGGATCGTCCTGTATCAGACAGCTTTTAGCTGTTTGAGATTCCTGTGATTTCCCTATGTTGGGAAGTTTTGTTTTGAGACAATTTTCATACATGTATATTGAATTCCTTATTTGTTCCAGGGAGATAATTTGTTGGAAGTTCTTTGATGTGTTTGCAGTGCACTAAATTTGTTTAATACAAGTTTGGTATGGAGTTTTTCCAGGTAAATATTGAATTTGCCTAAAATAAATATTTCTCCATTAATTCTAGTGAATAGATCGACAAATAGGGCATGTACCATGCTTGTTCCCAAACCATTTCTTTAAGCAACCTTTGTTAAAAAATGTTCGCAAGACAACTCACTCGCCTCCTCATCGTCTTCGAACCTGGTTAGACACACAAAAGTGTCTGTTTCCAAAACCGACGAGGACGACGACAAGGAGCATCGGTCATGGCACAAAGACTTGAACAGTGTTGTCGAAATTCTTCTCTCCCATGTATTGTTCATCGTCTCTTCTTCTGAGTCATCAAAGTAGTGTTTGTAAATGGGCTGACTTGGTTTTATTCTTTAGTGTACGAATTTTCGACTTTTTGGCCTTTTCAATGTTGCAGGCAATTGTTTCTGGCCTTTATAACGGACATGGGGGGAAGAATGTTGCTGACTTTGTTGTACAGTAATTTGTTTGAGACGATGAAGGATTTTAAAGGAAATTATGAAAAGGAGGAAGCAGTAATTTTTCATGATAATTGATTTAAATCACTTCAAATAACTTTAAAAATAAGTTCCATGAGTATAAATACTATATGTAGCAGCAGATTCAGCCAACACATCCATTGCCTTGCATACACATTGAGGAACAACTAACAAGAGTTGAATTCTTCTCTCTAGTTCCTATGACAGGCCATGTTTAATGGATTCGGAGGGTCCGAAAACGAACCGTCGACAATGTGTTTAAATATGTACCGATTAGCGCCTTCCGTAAAGTGCACGCCGTCCCAATTTACATGACTTGAAGGATCTTTGCAAGGAGCTGCCACTAACACATCCTTCCCATGTTTATGAACCTTTCCTCCACACCCCAAGTTCTTGTTGTAATTGTACTTTCCACCATGGCCGCAGCATGTTCTAAGAGGTTGATCGAACCCTGCATTTTCAGATATAACATCGATTCGAGTTCAGTGTTTTACGAATGTAATGATTGATTTTTGATGAATTCTTATTGTAAATTTGAACTCTAAAAATGAAATGGACTCACCATGCTTTTTCCCTTGGCTAATTAGTGAATACTTCACGGAGTAAATATCTACGTAGGTGATTGCAGCATGTGGCAAATCTTGGCGCAATTGTTCAACCGTCTTCTTCAATCCACGGTTGAAAAATCGGGCTACTTCATTGAACGGCGAAGCACATCCGTATCTATCGATCTGACCCGCCAGGACAGGGATACGCTCCATGACATACGGTAAACACCCGACTGGACCGGTATTGTGTATCCAAAAGTATCTGCCTCCTATGTCATATATATACTGCAAATTACATACAAATTACACCCTGATAATCACTAGTAAATCGATTTGAACAGTTGGTTCGACGAAGAACGCAGGTGTTTGTTGTTCGCAAGGAGATAAAGATGTGGTTCACGAACCTTGATTATAGTCTGGAACTGATCAAGCACATCGGGCACATAAGCCTTAACCTCGTCTACGGTCATGTTTGAGAAGTAACCGGCAGTGAGATCGTTTTGGCCAATATCAAAGGTGTACAAGGCACTCGAGAAGTCTTCCTCTTTTGGCAACAAGGTTTCATAAACACCACCTAAAGACACCATTCAAATCGATCTTTACCCGAAAAACATAGGTATCGGAATCAAATCAGTGGATGGTATCGATTTAGTACCTCGTTTACGCATCGTTTGCGACCTTGAATGAAAATCATGGAACTCGTAATATTGAACGTTCAAGGAGACGGGGCTGAAACCGCTTTGATGCAAAGTAGTGTTTTGAGGTCTAATGGTTGAACCGGCAGTGGCAAAGTTAGCTCCATGGGTGAAGTTGGTTCCCAGGGAGTCGAGAAATGCACTTAGATACGGTAAACCAAGCCTCTCAGCTAAACAGAAAAATATTAACAACTCCGTTGTTGAATATAAGACGGCCACGTAAGAATTGAACAAGGAAAATAGAACAGCACAAGGGAGAGAAAGGGAAAGAGAATAAAAAGAGTTAAATAAGGAAAATCAACAATAGACAATTATGACTAATATTATCTATGTCGTAAAAAAAACAACTTTAGATATTTTAAAATAATATTTGTTCATAATTGTTATTAATTATTGATAATGTATATACGATTTTACAAATACAATTGTTTTATATAAAATCTCAAAAAGAGAATAATATTTTTAATCATTAAGTTAAAGAATGAGTTTTGAAGTATTTTTTTAATTGTTGTCTGCTGGTTGTTGAATATATTAATCATTATAGATATGGTAAATATTCTTCTCGTATTCTTCGGGTGCCGTATTATATAGTTAGATATAATTTGAACTTGGGACCAGTTTTATAATTATTAAATTCTAAAGCGAGGATTCACATGCAGTCCCTAAACTCCAGATTGCACGTTTTACTAATTTTCTTTTATCGGAATCCGGACTCATGCATGATTCTTATAGATAAGATAGGCCCATTCTTTGGTGGTCACGACAAAAAAACATTGTTTACTTTCGCTATGCGTCGGTGGATACAATTTAAAATTATATATAATTTTAACTTAAAATTTTCAAAATTTCAATCCCAAGATTTAATTATACTTGAGACGAAAAGGAAGAAAAAGATGACCACAGACTGAGATGTCTGGTGAAACAAAACTCTCCCCGGAAACATTGAAATGAAGAGATAGAAGGTACCTATGAAGTCGATGACAAGGCGGCCGTCGCAGTAGCGGCCAACGGGGTGGCCGAAGTAAGACATTCCATTTGGAGGAGGAGCTTGACCGAATGCAGCTGACAAGCCTCCGGTGTCGGAGTTGGAGTCACCGAAGTTGAATACTGCTGGGAAATGGCATGGGGTTTTAGCATTTACCACCGACGGTGGATTGAGGTTCACTAAAGTGAGGACAAATATAGCGATAACTAAGACGGAGGACCCATCCCAAGCCATACGTAGAACAAGATACTAAAAGATTGGAAAGAGAGAGACTGAGAGATTTTGCATCTCCATGAAGAGAATGGCCACTTATATACCATATAAATATTATATAATATTAAAATAATCATAGTTGTAAAAGAATCTTTTTTATTGAAAGATTTTGAACTCCTTTTTACCCTTGTTTACTGTTAATGAAAAATGATTGCTTGTCGTTTGTTTGTTGGCGATTCATTCTTTTTAGTTTGAACAGAAAATCATGATTAATTATTGATTCGTATTTGAATGAAGAAGGGAATATATTATTATGAGGAAGAAAGGTCGACCAATTATTTGTCGTTCATCTATGTTTTTAGTACATGTGTCAGTCGTAAGATCATTATGATTATTCTGATCATGCTAGAAAGATTTAATGATTAGACTTTTGATTTTATCTTGATGAATCACATGAGTGTATTAAGGTTCTTATATATACATTGTAATTGACTTGCAGATTTGTGCTCGGAAGACACAAGCTTCTATGAATTCTGATAAGCGGAAAGATATGTATGAAGATAAATTGCTGATAAAGTTTCGAAAAATCTGACGTGGAGGTTGAAAGGTAAAGTGTCGACAAATCCAACATGGTGGAGGCTGGAAGGTTTTCAGAAGACGTCTCCAAAGATATAACAATTGTCCACAAAGAGTTCGTAGAGATCAATCACTAATGAAATATTAACAGATCCAATGTGATGGAAGCTAAATCAGTAATGAAATATTAACAGATCCAATGTGATGGAAGCTAAAAAGTTTACGAAGTAGTCGCCGGTGTCCTTTTGTCTTTTGAGCTTCTCCTTCAGGTTGATGGTGGCCAATGGCTCAAACTAGAGATGCACATAGCCGGATTTAAATCCGATCCGGATCGGATAAAAATAGATCCGATTTTTTCATTAAGCCAAAAAACCGGTTTATAAAAAAATCGGTTCGGATTATAACCGGTTTGGAGAGCCGGATGATGTAACTGGTGTAACCGATTTCGGTTTGAAAAAAACCGATTTTTAATCCGGTAAAAAATTCGATCATCCAATTTTTTAAACCCCAAACCGAATTTTTAAACCCCAGACCGGATTTTTAAACCTCAAACCAAATTTTTTTTCAGATTTTTTCAAACCGATTTTTTATCCAATAAAAAATCCGATCGTCTAATTTTTTCTCAAACCGGTTATACTATCCGGTTTTAAAATATCCGATCCGGTTTTAAAAAACCCGATTTTTTCCAAATTCGATTTCGGATATTTTTTACACAAAATTGAATATTCGGATTTTTTGTGAACCTCTGGCTCCAACCAGTGTGTTAAAACTGTGTTGTGGCTCTTAAGCAAATTAAGTCCAAACAACTTGTAATCGGGTTGATTGTAAGTTGACAAGTCTATGAATAATAACACTTCATTATTTGCAGCACTTGTAAAATAAAAAATATACATGACCAGTTGATCAATGCTAGAAAAAAAAGGTTCCATGACACGCCAAAACAAAGAAAGCAGCCTGAAATTCACCAACCACCTCAACACTAGACTCTTCTCTATAACATTCCAAAGGAATATTAAAGATAAAACTGGTGAATCACTCAATGTTTCTAGTCCCTATCAAATATAGGCAGGCTCCTTGCTCTACAAGGAAAACAAAAATAGCCAGAAAGAAGGGGAGACAAATGGTGGAAAGGCCATTTTTACATGAAAGTACCCAGATTATCCCATAGTTCCTTGTTCCAATACTCAAGAATCCTTGCTCCACTTTACCAGAGCAATAAACAATAAGGTAACAAAATATTATTGGTCCATGTTGTCAAAATTCATCTGACAGAATTCAACAAAACAATTCCGATCATGGTTCACCATCTGTCCCTCGATCTTGACCTGCAATATTTTAAAAAAAGATCACAATTTCATTTGTCTGGTTTCTATGAGCAGATATGCAGTTTTGAAGACTAATATTACAATGTGCAACAACATGACTACGAATGGCAGTTTGGAGTTAGACAACTCGTAAGAACTACAGATCATGGAACCACGCGGAATTAAAGCGGATGCTTCATTTGATTAACATGTATCGGTACTAGACAGGGACAGAATAAAAATGCATCTTAAGAACCTTGGTTTCTAATTAACCAAAAAAAAAGGCTTCAAATATGCATGAATAAGGACCTTAGAATATATCACATCTTAAACTTGCAAATTCTTCTAATTATTTGTATCAATGAAATAGGCGGGGGTAGCCGAAATATTCAGATAAGGAGGTCAAGTTTTCCATGAAGATTGGGTAAAAGAAAAAGAAGGAAAGGCACGAGAGATATAGCTGCTGATATTTTATACCCTTACCTGTCCATATCTCTGTTTCCCTGAAATCCCCTATCCCTGCCACCTTGAAATCCTCCCTTAAATCCTCTTCGCTCATCACCAGGCCTTGTCCATGCATCTCTAGTACCACGAGACCTAGGCCTATCCATGAACTCCACACTTCTAGATCCATCAATAGATCCAGACTGCAAAGGAGGTCTGTCAGGGAAGCTGCCGGTCCTGCCAGCTCCAGAACCAGGCCTTTCAACACATTTCTGCCCAAATCTAACTTTGTTCTCCAAATCTTGAATCAACATCTCTAATTCCCTTTCATTGTGACTAAGTTTTTCACGTAAAGAGTGTTGGTCCCCAGCAGATTCTGAACTTGGCGTCAATTTTTTCTCAAGCTCCTTCTTTAAGTTATCTATTTCCTCTTTCAATATCTTTTCCTCTTCTGTTTCCGGCCTGAAACATTTTCTTTTCTCATTAGAAATGAAGAACATAATGGTGTGGGCAATATATTCAAAAGTTGCTTGCAAACAAGAAAGGAACACAATGGAATTGACACACAATGACAAGCAAGCCATTAGAATAGTTGGAGCATCTGAAACCATCTAAAGATTACAATCTTACACAGGAAATCACAATGAATCACATGAATACAGAAAAGAATTCTGTTAGCACAGAAAAATGGAAAATCACAAAGTAAATTGGTAAATAAGCAGGTAACAGCTTATAACCATTTGCATTAACAATCTCGCAAAAGAATGAAAGATAATATTGCATTAAGTTAACTAAAAGGGAAATCAAGCCATGCAAAAGAAGCGCAGAGCTTGAAATATCACATGATGGCTTAAAAACAAGCACATATAAGCATGAAAACAATAAATATTCAACAGGAGGAATGACAACAAAATGAATTTGAACTAAAACAAAACACTTAAAGTACCATAAAGAAGAGTAGAAGCCTAGCAGTGTTTTAACAAAAAATTATTTGATGGAAGGAAAGGGTAGTAATACCATCATGCCTTATAATATTGGACAGGAAAAAACAAAATTGAAGGCAATAGGTAACTGCCTCCTATATGACCTACCAGTGCATATGCTACTTTCATATGCCCCACATTCACAATTTCGGTAAATAAACAAGTTCAGAACAGTATTAAGGATTGTGCATTTTTGTTGTCTCCATGCACTCAAAGGCAACAAGTGGCAAAGATAACAAACATCAACACCGAATTTAGGAATATGCAAAGAACTAAGCTTAGCTGTCAAAAAAAATGAACATAGAAAGAACCCTCTGGCCCAAAAATGGAAAGAAAAACATAATGTTACTCCCCTAACCCACCAAGAATTGAGTGGTGCTAAGGTAACAGAACACAATATGCTCCACATTGGGGCTTGTTGAATTAGAAGCTTTTATTAAATTTTTTCTGTTCGGTACTCAGAGTCGAATGTTCATTTCTAAAATGGATCCCTATACTCATCAAGTACTTCAGTAATCATATGCACTTCAAAGAAAAAGAAAAGATCCGCTCAGTCACAAAAGTATGTTTGGTTAATCTGTTGTTTGCAGCTAAACCGACTTTCTAACATACTAAACATAAGTTCTGTGCTGTATGATAAAGATGTAAGCACAGAAAGAAAAATGTCTCCTAGAACTCCATCTGCCCCAGCTCCCAACAAAGGAAAACAAAAATGCAGATCCTAAAACAACTCAATTCCAAGCATAGTTGTTTAAAGAAAAAAATGGAGAAACCACCAAAATGATTAAATATAATTTATCATATGGTATTGAACTGCACTACATCAACTTCAAAGTCCTAGCAATAAAGGATCTTTTACTGAAAACATGGTATTGTATACCGATGGATTAGGGAGTATAAAACAATATGCAATGACGGCGAGGTGGCAACAGCTAAGGCAATTTACAGAAGCAAATATGGTAAGAACTTTGAAACCATCATTAACAAGTACCAACATTAAATGAAACATATCAAAATCAGTTCACACTTCAAACAAAATCCCACAGGAACAAGTTCGCCATAAATTATGAGCAAAATGATTAGAAAAATGAAATGGAACCTGTCCATCCTGCGACGGTCTAAATCAAGATCAATCTTACGCCAGTCCTGACCTCGCTCTTCCAGCAAAACTTCTCTAGGCTTGGCAGCACCGAAGGGATTGACTTTTGGCCTAGTCTTGATTGCATTTTCAAACCCTTGCTGCTGGGGTCCTTCGGACCTGCTAGATTGTGCACTCGACGGCCTGCTGGAATGAGCGCTGGTAGGCCGACTAGTTTCCTTCTTTGCTTCAATTTCAGAATCCAGCTTCTTCCAATCCAATCCTTTCTCTGCTAACACCTCTTCCCTGGGCTTCGCTGCCCCAAAAGGATTCGATCTATTTGTTTTAACTACAAGCTCATTCACCTCCCCTCGCGGTGGATCCAAAACTAATCTAGGCCTGTCCTCTCTGGTTCCACCTCCACTACCACTACCACCACGTGACCATCTATCAGGCTCCGGTCCAGAATCACGAACACCACTTCGGGACCATCTATCAGGCTCTGGTCCAGAGTCACGAAAACCTGAACCAAATGTCGAAGATCGAGTTGGATTTGACCGTTTTCCAGTCGTCCAATTATCAACCTCATCAGCCTTTGAAAATGCACCAGTTCCAAGCCCACCGTATCGATTTTGCCTGCCCGAATCCAAAGAAGGACTTGCTTTTTTTTCCATTGCCCAATTATCCACCTCATCGGCACGCGAGGGCTGATCAAAATCAGAAACCCTAGAAGGCGGACCCCGTCGTTCTTCATTAAAACCTCCGTGCTGCCTCCTTCCGGAACCCCAAGATCCATCGCTATCTTCACGGTCACGGATACCCCGACCCGCACCTGGACCCGACCTCCCGTAAGATGAAAATCCACCGCCAAGACGTCCGTACTGGAATTCCTCGGAGGAACGTTCTTTGGGCCGGGTCGGGAGGAGCATCATCTCTTCGGGTGTCAGCCTATTGTGTTCCGTTACCTTAGCACCACCCAATCCGCCCCCGCCTGATGAAGAGTATGTCCCCTGGTTAAACTCCGACAGAGACATTTTCTTATTCTTGGGCTTCGCCCTAACGGCTTCCTTCAGGCTAGGGAAACTCTGAGATTCAGCCGTGGGCCCGGAAGCTTCCGCAGCCGCACGTTCCTCCGCTTCTTCTCGTTCGGCCTCGGCGGCCCACGCGCCGATGCGGCCCCAGGGTTTCGACATTTTTGGAAAATATATTATTTCTTTTCTTTTTCTTTTGATATTTTGTTTTCTTTGAGATGTGGGAAAAGATTAAAGAGGGTAAATGAGGCGGGTATAAAAGAAGAGAGGGAAAATGAAATAATTAACCTGGGGCTCCGTTAATAGATCCGGAGCTCCGGTTGCAATCGATGGAGCCTAAGAGCGGGTTACAGTTATTTGGGTAAACTATAAAAGGGTAGTTATTTGAGGTATGGTTCAAGTATTTAAAAATATATTAAACCTTCTCTATATTGTATTTTCAATTAAGTCATATTTTGTATGATAAAATTATATATATCAAAGCATTGTAGATGAATTAGAACTTTATTTTAAAAAGGTAGATTATGTTTCGAGTAGGATAAAGTCACATTAAATCTAGATTATATCAAGTTTTGAATGTCAAATATATTTTTATTGGGTTAGATCGAATTGGACGGAACACGACCATGCCTATCTTCATTCATCAATCAAAAACAAACACAAAAATATAAATAGTACAAACTTAAAAGTTATATTAAAAATTTAGAAATATAAAATTAATTTTAGATATATAAAATTAAATAATAAATAAAAATAATTTAAGGAATAATTTTAGTAATAAAACAATTAACATCCAACAGTTGAAACTGTACGTTTATTACTCTATAGTAAGAATAATATTCTCATATAAATGATTCATGTTAATTAATATGATATATACCATAAAAAATGTCATGTATCGCTATGAATTTTTATTAACTTAATAATTGATTGCTTTATGTAAATTCACAAATATATTAAGAAAAGTTGATTAATTTGAGATAAATATTTGTTATTTAAATATTATTTATATTTAATTTATGAATTGATTAATCTAATTTTATCAATAAATAGAAAAAAAAATACATGAAAATTTTGTTTTTTTTATGTAATTAAAGAGAGTTCCATTCAAATGGTGAATTTGTTGCAATTTACATGCTACTACACCCTCATACAAAGATCAACACTAGCTCACTGAGATCTCATCCTGTTAAGCTGGTTCAGCGCCGGTTGCAGAATATTGTAGGCCACCCAAAGAAGAGCCGGAGCCACCACGAAGAGGAGAAGTGTCCCCCGGTTGTCACTCGAAGCAGCGTCAGCAACCATGGCGATTTCACTCGCCGATGCTTCCGGTGCCGACATGAACCCCGACGCAGCCAACCCACCGAGTCCTAACCCGATGATCACCCCCTTGGTGGTCCTCATTCGGTTCAGCTGGTTAAGTGCAGGTTGAAGGATGTTGAAGAGAACCCAAGCTATGGCCGGGATTATTGGAAGCAATAGGGCTAAACCACGGTTGTCTCCCTCGGCTATTTCGGCTATCTGTTGGGCGGCGAAAGCGGGATTGCATGAGCTGAGGGTGGAGAAAATAGCTCCAGCAATGGCGGTGCCGGCAAGTGAAGAAGAAGACGAAGGGAGGTTTGGTTTTGAGATAGTGAGACCCTTGGGGAGGTTTTGCATGGAGAGGAGAGAGATAGGTTTAGGGTTTGGTTTAGTTGGGCTGGTAATCTTGGTTGAGCTGATGCTTAAGCATTTTGCATTGAGCATCGCCATTGTTGCTACGCTTGCTGCCATTTTCTTTCTTTTCTCTTGTGTGATTGTGCTGCTGATCCCCGGGGGGTGGAGATTTTGTGGGATTGGCAGAGGTTGACGATATGGGGTATGGGGCATAGATTTAATGTAAAGCAAATCAATATTGTCCAATAAAATGAAGATTTCTGGATTCTTCTCTTATCCTCATGATATGATCGGTGAGATATGGACCTCACGTTGAATACTCATCACAAGTTTCTTATCGTCTCAGTTTCTAAAACATTAATAGCCCCTTCATTTCGCGTAAATATTTTTTATTATTCAGTTTTAATTAAATTAATCAATATAATTAGATAATTTTATTTCATATTATTGATTAATAGATAAAAAACTAAAATTCAATTATTAATTAATTCGGTTCAAAATTGATTTTAATTGAATTGATTAAAATCACCAAACATATTAGATATTTAATACGTTATATATATTACATATATATTTTAATCACATACCTATTAAGAATCAAAATTGAACTACTCCTTCCGCCTTATTAAATCTAAAAATCAAAATTTCTAAACCTTAATTGTGATTGTTTTAAATATTTTAAATAATTAATATTTTTATAATAAATATTTAAAAATTACTTAATTGAAGATTTTTAAAATATTTTTTCATAATTTTATCAATAATAAATTTTAAATAATAATGACTCAAAATAAAAAAATTGACAAAAAAATCAATAACGAAAATAATTAAAAAGATAGAGGAAATACTCTTTAATTGCATAAAATCTATTAAAATTTCAGTACTCAATTAAATTTTAACTTAAATGATATATATATATATATTAATCCCAAATTAATCTAATTAAAAAACTTATAATGAATTTCAATTAATTCAAAAATTGATTAAATTAACTAAATTTTATTGAATTCTATTAATAATTTTTAGAAACTCTGATTCAATTAATGGTTAAAACTTTGATTAGTTTAATTTTAATTAATTCAATTTAATTATCGACAAAATTAATCGGTTAAACACCCTTATTTTATATAGGGCAAATCTAATTTTGATACTTCATTTTGTTTTCATGTATAATTACACATTTAATTTTAAATATCAACACGTGTATTTAAAAATATATTAAATATGTTATTAGAAAATATATTTAATTACGCCGCTATTAAGAAGGTAGTACCTACCATCAACTAATGTCATTAAAAATTAAATATATTAAGTGTCGACGTTTGGGTCGTCCCAAAACGAACAACCTACAGCAGATCCCTTCGGGCTACGGCCTCCTAACATCTTGGCAACTTAATCCCGGTCTCTCATCCACCTACCAAAAACTCGTAACTCATTATTTCATGTAATCTTTAAGAAAAGTACTCGGAAATCCGGAAGCCGGCTAATATTAGAGAAATGCTTCGGCCGACGAGCATCCAATGACCCATGCATGCTACAAACATAGATAAACGGCTATTCGAAAATGATGTAGTTTCGAGGTGGGAAGAGTAGAAGGGGAATATGAAAATTGATCCATTGATAATTGAAGGTGGTAACTAAAGAGGTAAATAATCATTGCCAATAACACGAATTCCTCATTCTACTTCAACCAACAGAGGGTTTGGCAGTTCAAAAATATATAAGTAAAACATGTCTCTCTTGAGCAAACAAAAAATGTTCCGGGCGAACCATACAACACAATCAAAACAGGAATCTTCTGGGTGAAACAGTTTCAAAATTATACCTCAGTAGTCTGATGGAGAAATAACATCATCAATTTTAAGAATCATCTTTACAACTTGTGTTGCCAGTAAGATCTGTTGCTGCTTCCCGATCAGCGTTTCAAAGACATCTTGTTGCCGCATGTCATTAGTCCCGACATCGTTGCAGTCTATTCCATAGTGTGGATTGTTCTGCTGCACATGGATATAAGCAAACAAAATTAACAACATTCTATGCAGTGGTGAGATTATATAAGATCAAAGTTATTATCATACAAATTATAGTAATTACCTTAATTTGCTGAGATTTCACTGCCGATAGTGTCTCAATGGGTTGGAGACCGCTATTTTCAGCCAGGGCCATGGGGACCGAGTCTAGAGCATCTGCAAATGCTCGGATTGCATACTGCAGATAAAAACAAAATTTTGATATTGTATAATTACTCAGAAAAAAGAATGTTACGAAATTTAGAGGATTATATCAGCTTCTTACCTGCTCAACTCCTGGATATTTATCAGCAGCTGCCACTACAGCAATTGAGCAAGAAATCTCAGCTGAGCCACCACCATAGACAATAGAAGTGTTGTGAATGAGATTCCTGGCCACGCACAATGCATCATGGATACTGCGTTTTGTCTCCTCAATCATCATCTTGTTGCCTAAGGAATCATTAACCACAAAGGAAATCCTTAATGAGATTTATGACTAATCCATATCGATTCAGCTTGCATTAAACTTGGAATATTCTACTTTTTGTTACTTTTGGCTCTCTACAACATTATAAAGTTAGAGAGTATATCCTTACATAGCTCTATTTAATGATAAACAAAAGTAAATGGCTAACCAGTTCTAGATTGATCAAGAATAAAGATGTCCAAACATCTCAAAACAAGAATGGAGCAAATAAATTGCATACCAAGAAAAAGGAAGCAAGAGATCTCTTCACATGTCAAAGTGTCATGTAAGTTTCATCCTTACATTACTCTTCAACCAAGTGATATTCCCATTTTTTTATTTAGTTTTAAGAGTTTGCTGGTAAAAATAATCCATGCTCTAAAATTGTCCAAGAATTTTTTTTGGTACGAGATACTGTCTGAAAGAATAAATCAAGTCTTACTATGGAGACTGGGTGGTGTATTTTATAACAAACTACATAGGAATAGGAAATTAAAAACAGAACTAACTCACTTAGATAAACAGTCACCTAGGCTTAAGCCTAACCAGGATACAAAATCAAATTACGAAAGATAACAGAACATAAACCAAACTGAAGGAAATAGAATCTACCTCCACGAATAAATATGGTCACAGCCCTTGAATTTGCACAGTGTTCAATGTACAACATTTTATCTTTAGTGGTGCCAAAAGACTTCTCTCTGACCAGACCAGCCTAAAAAAATAGAGTTAAATAAGAATTAAGAAACAAGTGTTTGCCATAAGAGAGGCGCAATGCCTGGGGATTAAGCTGAAATTTTACAATGTAAATACTTCATCAAACTAAATTGCTAGTCCAAATGAGCAATGCTTTAGTGGTTAATCGAAAAGTGATCAAAGATGGCAAACTTCTCCTCAACTTTATTTAGTTCTTATCGAGAAAATGGCGAGAGCGAGAGAACGAAAGAGCAGATATTCTGATGGCAAAGATGGAGAGGTTCTTGGTCTGCGTTCGTTGATAATCTTAGTAGGAGAGTGAGCAGAAGAACTTTAGGGGAACATTTTAGTTATCATGGAAAAGTTATTAGGGTGTTTATTCCTTTAATTAACAACAGACCGAAATACAAGGATTGTACGTTTGCTTTTGTCCATTTTGCAAGCAAGAAGGATCTGTACAATGCGGTGGAGAAGATGAATAATGTCAGGATTGCCGAGAAGATAATTTCTGTATCAGTAGCTAAATATGACAAGTTATCTGAGACGAAGAGTCGTGAAGGGGCTAGTGAGGAGGGCTTCAAAAAGGTCGAAATAGGAGAGTTGAAGGGAAGAAGATTGACTTCTCCAGCACAAGGGAAAGAGAAAATGGAACGAATGAGCAAGTTCCTTGATGGAAGGACTTATAGAGACACGGTGGTTGGGGTGAAAAAAGTTCCAGAGGGTCATCAAATAAGCAGTCAAAGGAATACTAAGGAAGAGAAGAAATCTTTGGAAGTCTTTATTCCGATGGAAGAGAGATTATGGTTGAAATCTTCACTTACTGGCATTTGCAAAGATATTTTTGAAGTAGAATTTGTGCAGAAAGCCTTACGAAATGAGGGCTTCAAAGTTAAGGTGATGAGGTGGGGATATGCGAAGAATGCGTGTCTGGTAGTGTTTCAGTCGGTTGAAGAGAGAAGGATTGCAATGGAAGAAAAATGGGAAGCCTTGAAGTTCTGGTTTGAAATATTGGAACCAGTGGTAGAGGAGGGGGCACTCCATTAGCTTATTGTGCGATTTCAATGATTGGTGTCCCATTAAATTGTTGGTCGGTCCCATTCTTTTCTAGCTTAGCATCCAGATGGGGCAAGATAGTAAAAATCCAAGATCAAACTGCACATATAGTGGATTGCAAAGTGGCGCAGTTGTTACTAAGGGTTGAGAGTCCATATGACATTCCAGAACATATCATCATCACTACGTATGGGAGAAAATTCATGATCAAAATTAAAGTTGATGGTGCTGAGGATTTTTTCCCATAATTAACCGATATGGAGGTAGAAGAAGTTGCAGAGGAACCATGGGAGGAAAGCTCTTCGGAGTGGAGCAAGGAAGATGTGCAGAATAGGCAAGAAGAGCAGGTGGGAGTACAAGAGTTGTCAGAACCCCAGAATAGGATTGAGTGTTGGATTAGAAGTTCTCAACAAGGCAAAAACACAACTACCGAGGGAGGTTTGAATTTAAACATAAGTATGGAAGATACTTTTGTTTTGTGCAAAAATGTGACAGAAGTAGGGGATGTCTCCATACAGCAGGAAAAGTCAGAAGAAGTTAATGAAGGGAGAGAAAATGGGAAAAGTCTAGGAGGTGTTCTCATAGAGCATGAAAAAGTTGACTGCGGAAATGGGCTTATTAGGGGCCCGGATTTACATTTGAGGAGTGGGCTGGATCAAGAGGAGGAAAGATTAAGCAAGGGATGTTGTTTTGAAACAGCAGAAAATAATGTTGTACATTGTCAAACTCCAGTGCAGGTGGGGTCTGTTTCCTTGTCTTCTTATAGAAATTCGAGGATTGTACCTGGGAGTAGAATGGGAAGGGGCAAATATAAACATGTTTACTCAAGATCTAGGTTGAGGGGAACTAGGACCTGTTTAGGTACAAGTTCGGAATATGAATATAGAAATGAGGAGGGGGATGGGGCAGAGGCATTGGAGAGCTGGAATGTAAGTAAATTGTTAGGGATTTCATTTAGAGGGGGGAAAATAGCTTTTATGA